GTGAGCTGTGAGGTTTATACTGTAGTACTTCCTCTCAGGACGTCCTCCCACATACATACATACATACATACATACATACATATATACCTTAAGAAATGGCACATCTATTTATGTCTTCCATCTTTACACCTACACCCATACCATGAAACCACAGTGTAAAATCTCATGGTGATGAATTTCAGTGAAGCCACACCAAAATGAGCGAGTCTTTGAAGCCGAGCTACAACAGCCACATGAATGTGTCCTCTGTACACCCTCGCTACAAACTCTGCTTCCTGCTTCTCCTCAGTTGTTCTTTTTTCAGTCAAACATCAGCCTCACACAGTGTGCAGCCTGTGGACAGACACAGAGACACATAGACACACAGACAGACAGTCTGACAGTGGCGCTGTGTGCGAGTGAATTTCTGTAGAAAGGTGTTGCACGTTGTGCAAACAGAGGTTAGACTCTTTGAGAAACAACTTGTCACCACATCCTCTTCCTTCACTCATAATTCGTCTTCATCCTTTAAAAACACAACGAGCAGCTTCAGGTTGAGCACACAGTGAACACATGATGAACACATGATGAACACATGATGAACACATGATGAACACATGAACACTCACTGACGTTCTCATGCAACGTGCGGGTTTCATTTCAGCTCAGCTCAGTCTGTGGAGGTTTGTGGCGAACTCATGAAACTTTCTGTTTTTGCACCACAAACATATTTAAATATAAACAGAGGAAGACGTTCAGAAAGCGAGCTGACGTCCTCGTTAACGGTTCGTTCTCTGACCAACGCTTTCTCACTCAGCTCACACCGTGGAAACACGGCGCGGTAGGGAGGCGGGAGCCGGTGGGAGCTGAGCTGGGGGCTGGATGATACTTTACCAACAAAGACAAACTTTAGTCACAAATAATAATTATTTATTTTGTATTGTAGCGCACTGACTGCAGAGCTACAAGGTCCCCTACCCCCTGGAACAGACACCTACCTGGTCTCAGTGGGCATTCAGTCTTCTTGCAACATCACACGGCAGTTCGGGGTCTTTCTTCCTACAGTGTCTTTATTCATTTCAAACTTTAACACACACACACACACACACACACACACACACACACACACAAAGGTGTGTACATAAATCTCTACGCAGACACACAAGAATACAAGACCCAGTAATGAGTGTGTGTTGATTCTTATTGTTACAGTTTGCTGACAGGGAACAGCGTTACAGCACCGAGGTCATTCTGAGTTCCTGATGGACAGATTGATCAGTGGCTAACCGCTAACTGCTGTTAGCTCGGTCAGCCGTGCAGCTAAGCTAACTGAGCTGGCAAGAAAACCACCTCGGTACTGGATTACCCGTTGGTCTCGGAGATTGTGTTCGGTCAAAGGTCAAAGGTCACTGTAGTTTTTGTCAAACAAACAGGAGGAAATAGGGCATTGGTCGGGGACTATTTTCAGCGGCGGATGAATCCACACTTTGTGAAGGAGATAAAGCGTGAGCTCACTGGCAGCCGGTTGGTGTGACGCTGTGTGCCACCTGAGCGGCAGGTAGACCACAGACAGCTGGAACAACTGACACACAGCCGCTGTGGGAATCGTCTCTCGGCCGCGTTCACACAGCCTCTGAAGAACTTCCTTCAGTTCAGGACCATGACAGCAGCGCTCAGGACAACAGCCTATTAATGCACCGGTCAGAGTTTTGCCTCTTTTGCTTCCATATTTTTTTTTTCTTTGAAGACTATCAGAAAGAAAACGGCCAAAATACACATTAACTGTTTATTTTACTTCACTTTGTCTGTTTGTGTCTGTAGATTTCACCTCAAGTTGGAATTATATAACACCTCATTTACATATTTAAACAGAACACTTAAAACTTAATAGAAACAATAATTGTCTTAATGTGAGTAATTAACTGTTAGTTTACATTCTGACTGCAGTGAATCTTTCATTCAGGTCTTTAAATAAACCTCGTTCAGCAGCTTCAGGTTTATTCCTCTCTGTGTTCATATATATATATATATATATATATCATTCACAGTGATTTATTGCTCATTTTATTCATAAATAAATTCAGAAAATGGATTTTATAGCTGTACAGTATTTTATGATGGGGGGATATACACCCTCCAGCACTACGTATCCTGATAGAGGTTCACTGTATTAGAATCTCTGCAGGAGTCAAACCTCCCACTGCCTGAGCAAGATTATTTATTAAATATTAGAAGAAAATAACTTAATTTGTCTACAAAATGGATTTTTAAGGAAACAGCAGTATTTTATTCTTCGTGATGAAGATCAGATGGTCAGAACATCTTAAATCACAAAAGATCAGACAAAAAACATTTGAGTCCAAGTTACAAAATATATTCTTTGAAATACAGAAAGTTACAGAAAGTGTTTCCAGCTGAAGAACATTTTTGATCTTGTGAAAATATAAAATATATATTATCGATTGAGGAACATTTCCCACACAGAAGATAAAAGCTCTTTACGACTGCAGCAGGATTTCTTTCTTATAGTTACACTTCATAAAAACATGTGTTTCTTATTTGATACCGTTTGTAAAGATAGTTCATAATAATAATAATAACAATAACAACAATATTAATGAGCGCTGTTTACGAGTGCAAATGATTGATCAGGCTTCCATAATGGCCCAGGAATGTGATGAAAGGCTGCAGTACACCTGTCAGACTGTATTCGTACTGTAGTTATTAATCAGTGTTATTAGTTATTAATCAGTGTTATTAGTTATTAATCAGTGTTATTAGTTATTTATCAGAGTCACCACACAGTGCTACAAATCACACGAAAAAAAAACACGAGTCAGAAGAAAATGATTTCACACAGAAAAGAAAAAAGAGGAATCAAAGTGAATGCAGCTGATTCTAAACAGTCTGATCAATGAAGTATTGATTACTATCTGTACATGATTGGCAGCCCTTTAACAACCCAGACCCAGCGCTCCTCCTCCTCACTTCATCTACTCTTTGACATTCAAACAACTTCCTGATGGACAGAAATGATTCTGAATTATTTCCACAAACAAACAAACATTGTCAGTATCGAGGTGATTGACAGTCCATCTACTTCAGTGTTAGCGAGGTCGCTAAAGCTACTGAGGTTTCTTACTAATGATCGCCATGTTGACGCCTCGTCAGTCGTGTTTCCATTCGTCGCAAATTTTAACTGAAATTTGAGTAAATCTGCAAAAGAAAATGTGATTATTAGGAGCTGGATAGATCCGCAGTAGGTGGCGCCATTCGACCCTTCCTAAGCCCCGCCCATTTTTGAATGCCACACTGGTGTTTGCTGTGAGGAAGGTCCAACACTTCAACGCTCAGAACTCGTTCTTTACTTCAAATAAAAACACGTTGATGGAAACACGACTGCACACGGCTGTTGGGTCTACTGAGATTTTGGCATTGCATTGTGGGATTGTTAGCAGGAAGTAGTGTCTGTGATGGACGTCCCCACAGACCTCCGTTATAAAGATTAGCTTTCTGATTGTCCTTCCTGACCTCTGACCTCTCTTTACGCTCTGTCCACACATTTACTGCCAGTAAGAGGACGGACTGGATCCTCTCTGTCTGTCTCTGTCTCTGCTGGGGGACGAGGGGTCAGTAGACGATGCGGACACATTCTGAGGGACCGCTCAAGAAGACTTTGGTAGCAGGATGGTAAACACGTCTCCGTCCAGCCTGTCTCTGTTGTTAAAGTGTAGTCAGATGGTTCTGCTGTGGGTCTTTGAGAGCCCTCAGACCCTGACGAGGAAGTCGAGGCTGAGGGAGGCGGGGATCTGCAGCGTCTCCAGGCTGAGAGCAGACGGGGTGTACGGGAAGAGGACGGGGAACGTTTGCTTGGTGTCCACCAGAAGCTGAGGAGGATCGTTTCTGTCCTGAAGACGGTTCTGGACACACAGACATGGACAGACGGATGGATTCAATCATACTGAGACTCAACAGATTCTTTTCAATAAACTCAGAGGATCTATAATAATGATACAATAACAATACTACACACATCAATAGTCCCATTATTAAAGCATTAATCAATCTAATACAGTGAGACAACCTGATCAGCCTTCAGCAGTTAGCTAGTGTTTCTGTAGTGGAGACTAAACGTTAACAATGATCCATATCAGCAGTTTGAATCCAACTAAAAGCTCCCTGCACCAAACTCCCTTTAAGAAATATCACATTTTAACAATTCCTAACGTGTTCGTAACAACACGTAACTCTAGAAACACGAGCTAAAGGCCGTCATATGTCCACAGTCTGACTGTCAATACAGGATCAATATCATCCATAAAGATACAGTGTATACTGATCAATATCATCCATAAAGATACAGTGTATACTGATCAATAATCCATATGATCAATAAAGATATTCTGTGTACCTGAATGTTTCTGATGAAGGACACAGTCACTCTCTCTTCGAACTCGTTCAGAGGGGTGTAAAGGTTCAGGATTTTCACAATCTGCAACACAGAGGACGACAGTGGTTGGAACATCTGAGACAGTTCAGTCACGATACAAATATCACTTCCTGTCTTCACAACAACAACAACAACAACAACAAGCTGTAAACGTTCCTAAAAGCATGTATTGATCAGCTGATGTATTGACGAGCAGACCTGCTGCGTGCTGAGGCCGCTGCACAGCGAGCAGATGGCCTCGGCGTCCTGAGTCGTCTTCTTCTTGACCTGCAGTAGCTGAGCGGCCTGGATGATGGGCTCCAGAGTGGCTGCAGCTTTACTCTGGAACAGGTTGTTTGCTCTCAGCCACTCCTCCATCTGACTGGTGTTGTACCTGCACACACACACACACACACACACAGACAGATGAGGCTACACTGTCAGTCCATGGCGTGCCTGACAGACGGCGTGCTGTTTGCGGCCGTACCTGAGCTGCATGCCGTTGCTCCAGGAGCACACGTCTTTGCGCAGCAGCAGGTTGTTGAGGGTGACGGCGTTGATGCAGTGGAACAGCTGTCGCACCACCTGACCTACGATCTCGGGGTCCAGGCCGTGGTCCTGCATGATGCTGTGAAACTGCCCCAGCTGGCGGATTAGCGCCTCCAGAGTGTAGCTGCTGGGGCCGCCGGCGTCCGTGTCCATGCTGGACGAACGATTCCTGTAGCCCATCGGCTTCACCCCCGCCAGGCTGGGGATGCTCTCGCTCTCCAACATGGCCGACACTGGACACCACGACCACAGACAGACAGACAGACAGCAGACAGACGTCATGTTACATCACAGATTCCTTCAGAAATCACTGATCACTGGATACTGATGTGCGGTCCACATTTCGATCTATGAGGCATGTATTGACAGTAGCTGGGCGGTTGCCGTGGTAACTGTGGTGGAAATGAGTCACTGGATGTTGAAATGAGTCAGAAGAGCAGCAGTGACGTGGTTTCTGTAGACAACGTCTGTAAAAGGAACCAAATATCAACCCGACGGACTCTGGATCAGTACGAAGTCGCACTGCTCTAACCGTCAGCTGCACACTGCTCTCAGTGGGAGTAATTACTACACTACCCACAATGCCATCCAGCAAACACTGAGTCAGCACAGACTTATGAAGCATTTCAATAATAACAACCTAAAAGCAGTTTGTAAAAATCGAATCGAAAAAAATAGAAATTGTATTCATTATGAAGCTGTGGCAGGACCAATTCAACGGTGGTGGGCCGCCACAGTCTATAATTACTGAGACCGGCTGTATAATGTTGGCTTTCTACTGAGGTACACTGAAGAGTCTGATTTTATAAATATATGACAGCCTGCATCATTTACGTCCATGTTTACTTCCTTTTCTTCTTCTCTTATTTTATTGGTACATTGATGTTTCTTTTACGTTACCGCCACCAGCTGTCCATCAGTGGAACATTATGTTCAGCACAGTGTCTTTAGACTGCCTTTAGAGGCCTGACATTGGCTGAAGAGGGCATTGTGGGTAGACTGTGATGAAGTGACTTTATACAAAGATCATTAGTCATCCTTTCTATTGACTCAGTAGTTCAGATTTATTTTAGTTTCAGCCCAGCTGGAGGAAGTTATAACATTACAGCTAGTAGTGTAACTAATTACTTTGGGCAGGGAGTAATAAGTAAAGTAATAACATTACTTTTGAAAAGAGCAATGAACATGTAGCTCACCGATCATGGGCTGGATGATGCCTTCTGCCACCTTAATGAGCTGCTGGTAGATCTGGATGGAGAGGTCGCTCAGCACCTGTCGGTACTCTGCCAGGTCGAAGTTCTTCAGGCAGTGTTCGTTCTGTTTGGCTGTGTTCTGCGTCATGAACACCTGAACAAAAACACAACAGGTCTTTCTCTGCTCACTCTGGATTCTCCACAAACTGAGGAAGAGTGTCTCACCTCGTCACCGCTGTACTGCTTCAGACAGTGGAGGAGACGGCTGGTGTTGGCCAGCCAGAAGGACGTCATCTCAAAGTCGTCGTTGTTCTTCTGCAGACGCAACAGAAATATTTCTTTAATCCATCAGTCATTAGCCAGACTGGTGGATGTGTGGAGGGCACTCACCTTGAGGACCTTCTTGATGGCGTTGATGGTGGAGGTGAGCAGAGACTCCACCTTCTGGTCGTCGTTGATGTAGTCAGCGTGGCGGATGCACATGAAGAGAATATAAGCTGGCAGACAGGGAACAGTAGCTGACACTGTGTTGGGCCTGATGTCTGAAAACACATGAAGTCACAGTGTGTAAAGGTTATATATAAGAGATTTATATCATTAATAAAGCAGTAGCAACTATTAGCTATGTAAAGTGTAGAGTGAAGTCATGGTGTGCTGTGAGGAGCAGAGTGACTGAAACTGGATTATTTCCACCAAACCAGAGTTGGTGATTGTTGGAAAGACTTACAGAGATAGTGAGTTTTATTTTGTTTCTGTCCACTTTGAATGAAGTTATGCTGTTACGAGGTAAAATTACAGCTTTTGCCTATGGAGTCTGGTGCAAGTGAGTAGTGATGGGAATCGAGAACCAGTTCCGAATAGTCCGATCCATCAGAGTCGTATGCCTCTGAGCTTATCAATGCTTGATGCATTGATAAGCTAATGCACTAATGCATCTACACTGCTGACTTTTATTTTGTTTCCATCCAGTCTGAAGTGTGTTTTATGATTAACTGTGAGTTAAAACAAAGGAGTCTGGTCAGCTGTAGCATCGTGCTGGTTCTCAAGTCCGACATCTAGTGGCAGTGAATTTCATACCTATAACCTTTAAAGTCAAAGGCATCTACTTTACTTAGTTTGAGCAGCTGAGAACAACAACGTCCATCAATCACTTTTTCATTAGCAATCCTCCAGCATCCTGATGGAGCTTTAAGGCGGCGACCATCAACCACCACTTCCGGTTCTCTCTCTCTCTCTCTCTCTCTCTCTCTCTCTGCACTCACTTCCTGTCGGCTGATCCGACCCACAGAAGAACAAAACTGATGTTGGCAGCAGTGTCATGACTGGAAGCTCAGAGAAAAGCTGTTTCCTCTGTTTCCTGTCAGCAACACTCAAGCAGACTGAGCACCAGATCCTACGGAGGACGATTAGGGCCAGAGTTAAAAAAAAACATTTGTTCAGATTTGACATTAAAGTTCGAGCCTGAATCCTCTTCCGAAGGATTTACACTGTGGTTTCCACTGAAAATACTAAACCTGATACTTAAGTTAAGATATGGAAAAAAGAAAGATTCAGTATATAGTGCTGCTTAGCATATAACTGCTTAGCTAATCTACATCAATTTTTAGCTTGCTACTTAGTTAGCATTTGCAACAGAGCAAAGTAGATTTGGTGATTGTTTTTGATGAGTTTGAATGAAGTGGTTTTTTATGATGAGTTAACAAGGCAGTTAAACTAACATAAGTCTTTTTTCAGTAAAAGAAAGGTGTACGGTAGTATTTTTTCTGTTTAATGCGAAAAATAGCTGTAAGAATATTTCCTTTCTTTACATTTTGTGGGTTTATTTAGTTTATTAAAGCTATGAGAAGGAACTGTTGGGTCTCTGTAAATAATGTTATAAAGAGTTCGGTCTAGACCTGCTCTATTTGAAAAGTGTCCTGAGATAACTTCTGTTATGAATTGGCGCTATACAAATACAATTTAATTCAATTAAATTTAATTGTATTGAGAGCTTAATTGTATGAACTTGCTGCTCCTACCTAGCACATGGCACATCTAAGTACAGGAAACAACAGTTTGAATAAGAGTCCATGTACTGCTGTGGAGGAGGATGGAGCAGACTGACCTGAGATTAGAGTCTTGAGCAGCAGGGCTTCGTCCTCCTTGTAGTACTCCAGCATTCCTTCAAAGTCTTTCTCCTTCCTCTGGACTGTCACCTGACGGCTTAGTTCGGGTCTGGACTTGGTGGTCTGAGCTGCAGCCTGAGCAGCTACAGAAGCACAGAGACCATCAGCACCCAACATCTGATCCAGATCAAGTGTAAGCTGCAGATGTGAACTCTTACCTTCTAACTCCTGGACCTTCTTCATGTAGATCCTGAGCTGCTTCTTCAGCTTTCTCTCATTCTTCTCCAGTTTCTCCACCAGCTCCTTGAGGTCCTACGAACAAGAGAACCGGTTTTAGATCCAACCTAAGTAGCTAGTCAAAGAAGTAAATGATCTCAGACATGCTGCTGACTTCCATCCATATCCTGTTAGATCTTAGCTCAGGGTTTGACACCATCAACTGAATAAATCAACTTTAATGATGGTTCAGTCTCTGGCAGTGCACTGGTTACGCAGACGATACCCAGTTACACATTTCTATTGAGCCAACTGACCCAAATGGCCTTCATCTCTGACTGCCTGTTTGGCAATCGTTTAGAGGTCCAGTGTGTAGACCTTATCATCTAGCAGCGTAGTTGCAGATTGCAACACCTTTTTCAGTATAATTATTGTTAAGAAACGGACACGCTGGACCACGATGCTGGAATGTGCCTGCTCAGCAGATTCTCTCACCAGGTTGTCGTTGGTGAGCCGTGTGATCTCCTGCTGGACGCTGTACTCCACCTTAGCCTCCGGCGACAGAGACGAGGTGTAGTTCAAGATCTCCTGCTTCTTTTCAATGTCGTCTCTCAGCAGCTCGATCTGAGTGTGAAGAGCTTCCAGTTCGTCTTTGTGCTGCCTGGACTGAGTCTGCAGCTGGGCCTCCAGCAGCCTGAGAGGACCAGGATAGTGTTACTCACTGCATGTTTACCAAGAATATTATCACAAACATCTGTCTGATTTTTTTTAATTACTGATTAATCTGCTGATTATTTTCTAGATTAGTTGATTGATCATTTAATCTATAAAATGTCTAGAAAATTGTGAAAAGTTTCAAGTCCAACTTCCCTTCCTAGCCTACAGTTTCTGTATGGTGATAAATCAGTCCGGTGTTACCAATGATACAAATTAAAGTTCCATTTAGTGTAGCAGAGCCTTTCCAGTAATACACAATAGCAACACCCTGTTTTACCCTACTATTTCATGTCAAAATGGCCGCTGTGAAAAAAGTGGATTAAAGTGGCTGTAAATGTAAGACTCGTAGGTAACCATAGAACACATTTTCAATGAGATATCTGAAGGTCAGAGGTCAATAGATCCCTTTGAAAATAGTAAAAATGCTCTTCACGACAACCGAGCATGACACGATGAGTCAGATCTTCTAATTTCATACGATATCTTCACTGTAGCTTTAAAACCAAGCCCACTGCCACCTCTGAAATACATTAACCTAGACCAAGGACATCGGCAGAGAGGCTAGTTTATTTAGAAATATTTGCAGATGGTATTTTGGATTTTGACCAATCCAAAATTAAAATTTTGTGACCAACTCACAAATCTTAATTAAATTTTAATGTGTTTGTTTAATATGATTAATATGAAGACTATCAGATGAACAATGGGGGACTTTTTACTTTCTGTTGGATAAATAAAGACGCAATGGGTTCAACAAGAGTGCTCTGTGAGAAAAGCCCCGGCAGGTGCAGTCAGTGTACTGAGCTCTTATTTTAGTAAGAAAAAGAAGAGAAAGTGAAAGAAAAGCGAGCAGAGGAAACAGAGACCTGGCCACTTGCTTTAGGCCCTGGTAAGCCAAACCCAGCTCTCCATCTTCATTCAAATAACACCAGTCCTGCGGGGTACTGGTGTCCAGCAGGACGCACACAAACAGAGGAAAAGGAAACAAAGCAAAAGCAGAGTGTGAGAAAGACTGCAGAGAACAGAGGCAGACAGAAATTCAAGTGTTAGTAGACACAAAAAAACAGCATCAAGCAGAAAGTCGGCCCTGTTCACTCCTTCCAATGCTACAAAGTTAATATAATCTACATTTAGGGTTTCATACAGTGATTTTTATTCCAGACTGCAGAACAGCAGAAAGAAAACTGAAAGTGGGCTCAGACTGTTAGTACACCATCAGCTGCAGTACAGCAGTGTCCCACAGTGGTGGAACAAGTACAGCACAGCTTTAATGTAACAATACTCACAATCCTACTCAAGTAGAAGTACAGAATATGCAGCCTGTCAGTGTACATACAGGAAACATTAACTACACCACCACCTCCTCTAAACTCTGCTATGAGAATCTGACCCAACCTGGACTGAAGCTACGGTCACTGATATTCTCTGCATTCAGCTTTAAAAAGGGCAAAAAAAAAGTAATAAATGTCACAAACTGTTGAGTGAGACAGTATTTAGTTTTCATTTCCGCTGTGGAGCCACATTAACAGACACCATCATTTCCCTTTAAAGTGGGCCACTACAAGCAAAGACATTGGTTTTATGTAATGCTCAATTCTGTGATTTTAGTCTTTGCTTCCATAACATGTCTGGTTTCAGATAAGTGGACCCAAAATGCACATTTAGTGTTTATTTTACTTCACTTTGTCTGTTTACATCTGTAGATTTCACCAAAAATGGCATTTGATGAAGCCTCATTTGCATTTTCAAAGATACAATTTCAGAAAACTAAAAATAATTTAGGCCCTATCCACTTGTATTTTCTGGCCTTAAATCAGATTCAAAGCTTTAAACAGAACAGATGAGGAAAGGAAGGAAGCTGTTCAACAGGCAGAAAAAAGCACAAGACACAATAAACACAAAAAGATCAGGAAGTAAATGTATTTCCAGTGGTCCCATGTAACTCCTGACGAAAATCTAAAATGAAAGTCTACCGGTGATTCTGCCACCATTATCACTGTAACCTGAATATGCGTACTGTCCCTTTAAATGTTGATGAATAATGAAGTCACTTACTTTTTGGACTCACACAGTCCGTGATACGCTTTCAGAGCCTCCTCTTTGTCCATGGGCTCTTTGCTGTCGTTCAGTTCAGGAACATCATTACTTTCCTGCTGAAAAACAGAACATTTTATTTTAATACAACAAAGATTATTGACCCCAGTTTGTGTGTCTTATATACACTTGTATCGGATTTGTACTCGCTACTGGTCAATACGCAAAGCTCAAGTATCAAAATTGATACTGGGACAGAATACACTGGAACATCTCCACTTTTTTTTTTACCTCCACACAAACACAAATGTCCACTGGAGCAGATTATTTACTGTTCTGCTCCACCTCAGAGAGAAGCTTGGCTCCATGCACAATCAGTGACTGCATGCGAAGATGGACAGCATTACAGCCCCCCAAAAGGGATATACATTTTCTCAATCGCCCCCTGGTGGCTGTTTGCAGTATAGGTCATAAACCCCATCAAATATGTTTTTCCCAAAGATGATTTAGTTATTTGATGCTATAAAAATGGGGTTTCATGTTCATGCCTGCTCGCGATTGAGTCAGCCAGTTGTATGGGCAGGACACTGATACTGCGGCTCGTGTATTTGTGTTATTTTGGCTTCATTTTTGTACAGTGGGAGGAAGTTACGATGCGTCATCCATCTTTACATACAGTGTACAATCTTAATGTACTTCAGCACACTTGATTTGAAAGTTCTTCTGAATGGTGAAAACCTGGAATGTTTTTTACACCCGAGGCCAGTCTTTCATAAATAATAAATATCATCCCAACATTACAGTACAATGAAAGTAAACTCACTATGTGATCATTCTTCTCCAGTAGCTGGGCCGTGCTGACTATCTGAGTCCTCAGAATGAGGACTTCCTCCTTGCGGGCATCCAGCTCCTCATTGGCTGATTTGAGCTGACTGAGCAGCAGGTTGTAGCTGTCCTGGAGTTCATTGGAGGAATTGTTTTGAGATGCACGCTCAGAGATTGCCTTCCTCAGCTCGTTTAGGTCATTCTTGAGTTTTTTGTTCTCAGTTTCCAGCTCTTGCCTCTGCAGGGGCACAGAACAAGGTGTGAGATATGATCCAAATGGAATCCTTTATAAAACATGGTATATTAGTTTTTATTAATGTGTATTTATTTGAATATGACAAAACATCTAATCTATGAGCTTGCAGTGTGCTGATGGTGATGTGTGATGATGATGTGTGAGGTGAAGTGAACCTTCAGGTTGTTGTAGGCCAGATCTGCAGTCTCCTGCTCAGAAGTGGGACTCCTCGACTCAGAACCCTTTAATGAATGAAACACATATGGAATTCAAGTCCAGTTCAGACCAAATATTCACAATATTTGCGGGGTTAGGGTTAGGGTTAGGTTTAAAAACCTTGAAAGCATAAACACTCATTCAAAGTACCTGGAAAAGGGAGATGTAAATAACCATAACTTCTTCTCCCGTGGTTTCACTAACAATGAGGCTCAGAGCTCCCCCCTCCCGCCACTGCGTGTATTACAAATCAAATCACGCGATCTCTCAAAAAAGGACCAACAGTTGGGTGGATATTTGCCTGTGACGGTGTGAACTATGAACCTAACTAGTTCCCGCCTCCTCAGCACGAGCTGAACGATAAATCTAACACACCAAGAGAGGCGGGAGTTAAGGCAGAACAGCCAATCATCAGCCGGTCACACTCAAAGCTGGTGTCATGTTTGAGGCAACAACAGGAGAGGGAGGGGGAGAGGGGGCAGCCGCAGCGAGCGCAGACACAGAGCGGCCAGAGAAACGGAGCGACTGTAGTAAGGCGTTTGCGCAAAACTGTGGAAAAACTGCAGAAAAAGTGTGGGTGTTTAACCCTCTCACCGGGAAAAGTGTGGGTGTTTTAACACCCACACTTTTCGTGACGCCCCTGGTTGAACCGTGTGAAGAGTCTCAGTCCGCACTTTTCATCAGTCTGATAGTTGCAGAAAAACAACGTTAAACTCTGTTCAGGAGCTGCAACAAGCAGTGGACCAGAAACTCCAACGTTCTCTGAGGTAAAATCACTGTTTTTATAAATGCAGTCTGGCGGAGAGTGCGCAGATGGATATAACGGCATCAGAACGGGCTGTCTGACAGCAAGGTAAAGTAATGGACATATTATAAATATAGTATAATATAGTATACACTGTCTGCTCCTTCCCCATCCACAGAAGAACTTACAAACTGTTTTTTACAGCAGTTTACAGTGTTTGGTTTTCTTCCTGTCAATTTCTTCCATTTTCAAGAGACAAATCTTTGGTCTGAACTGAGCCATGCAACGTGGATCCTCGTTATCTGAGTGACTTTCTGCAGAGATAATAAAGACAGCTGGACTGAAGTATCACATCAGTATGAATATCAGTTGGCGACTGTCACCTTGCGCTTGGCGAGCTCCTCCATCTTGTCCACGTTGGCCTGCAGTCTCTTCCTCTCCTGCTCCAGCTCTCTCACTCTCTTCTGCAGCTTCATGAACAGACTGATGTCCATCGCAGCCTTCTCCACTCCCATCTCCTGCAGGGGACAACAAATCAAACAGTTAGCTTAGCATCAGGCTTCAGCGGAGGACCCTGCCTTCGTTCCGCTCTTCCCTCCTCACGGACTCACCTCCACCAGCTGAATGGAGTCCTCGGTGTCTCCGACCTCTGAGGTGGAGATGGATGGGTAGTTGGAGTCCGATTCCAGGCTGCTCTGATTGGACGGGTTCCTCCTGTGGCCGGGTTGGAACTGGAGGATGATGGGAGTAGAAGAGTTACTTCATGTTGTGTTCTTTCATGGAAATAATTATTTACCGTAAATATCTATAGCAATACTTCACATTATTAAACACTGACCCTCTATTAGTCGACCAGCTACCTGAACCATAACTGCTGAGTACAAAGTTTTCTGTTAGACATGTTCAGTATGGGGCGCCCAGATAGCTCAGTGGGTAGAGCTGGCGACCCATGTACCGAGGCTGAGTCCTTGCAGCGGCCCAGGGTTCGAATCCGACCTGCAGCCCTTTGCTGCGTGTCATCCCCTCTCTCTGCCCCCCTTTCCTGTCTGTCTTCAGCTGTCACTATAATAAAGGCAATAAAAGCCCAAAAAATATACTTTTTTTAAATTTACACACTGACAGATGCTAACTTGCATATGTTGGTCAATTAGCATAATTAGCATTAATAACCACCTATACAGACAATATTTCAGCAATATAGAAGTGGTTTTGGGGGCTTATTGAGGATTCGGAATCCATTTCTGACATTTTCAACAGGAAGTGGCCATATTCTCCCAGTGGGCATTTTCTAAAGGCTGGGGGCCCATACTGTACATTTCTAACATTAGGGCTCTGTTGGCTGCAAACACACTAATATAGAAAGATCTCCCATGTTTTACACTTTTAATTCTGAATATGTAACATTTCCTCTGAACAATAGATGATGTTGGGCTGTGTGGCAGTGAAGAGGAGCTCACCTTACTCAGGGACACCTCCTCCTTCAGGTTGTCGTATCTCTGCTCCAGTCTGGAAAACTCTTTAAGAAGATTCTGGTAACGCTGCCTCTCCTGATCCAGCTCCTTCTGCAGAGACGCCTCCTTCTGAGACACACTGCTGCCGTCCTCTGAAACACACACACACACACACACACACACACACACAAACATTAAGTCATTTAGAAAGCAAAGCATGTCTTAATTCCATATGATAGAGGTATTTTAAATTTAAATATAAAGACAAGCTTTGAACGGAAGAGTTAATACCGTTCACGTGTTCTGGTTCAGGTCTTACCTTCAAAGCTCTTTGAGTGCTGAAGAATCCTTTGGTTCATCTCCTCTTTCTCACTTTTCAGCAGGGAGTTCTCTCTCTCCAGCTCCTCTACCCTCTGAGGAACAAAACACCATCAGTAGCATCCACCTCAGAGTTACAGGTAACATCCAGACAGCAGCGAGAGAGGCTGTTTGATTACTTACAATAAGTTTTCTGCAATGTTTAAATTAGAGTTATTCTGCAGCCATTAAACTGTGGAATCAACAAATACCTCATTATGATTAGTTAAAGCAAAACATTTCAACTTTAAATGTCCTCACCGGCTGATTACTGATCTAATGACTGTTACGGTGCAGTTTGTTGTTGTTGTTGTTGTTGCTGTTGACAGTGACTGTCCGGCTGTGCTCTCACCTGTTGGAGCCCCATTTTCTCCGTGCTGTGCTCCTCCTCCAGCCTCTTTCTCTGGGACGCCGCCTCCTGCAGCTCCTCCCTCAGCCTCTCCAGCTCCTCCTGCAGCGACGTCAGCTGACCCCCGTCACTCTGCTGACTGCGGACCTGCTCCAGCTGCTTCTGCAGCTTGTTCACCTCCGAGCCCAGGGTGGTGTTCACCAGCAGCAGCTGCTCATTCTGACTCTTGTACTCTTTGGACTGAAAACACACAGACAATGTACAGCTGTTCAATACAGGACAGCACTTGGACTAGCGGTGTTAGCAGTATTTTTACATGTAGTTCCCACAGTGAGTACCTGGTCGTCCATCTTCCTCTGCAGCTGGACGATCTTGTTCTCCATCCCTGTGTTGAGCTTCTTCAGGCGTTCGGCAGAGCGAGCTTCGATCTTCAGTTGCTTCAGCTGTCGTTTGGCGAGCGTGCGTCTGTACGCGCACTGGATGGTGATGGCGGCGTCGCGTGCTCGTCTGAACTTCTTCCTCTGCAGCCAGCTGCGGACACTCTTCTGGATGATCATGGCCTTGTGGTGCAGGAGGAACTGCAGAGGAGACAGGGTCAGTGAACCGAGGAGGCCTTCAAAAACATTCCACCATAAATTGGAAACACTGCGCTTCCAATTTACTCGTTACAGCAACACAGAGACAGCGAGGAAGAGTGAGAGAGCACAATAAGGGTCAAGAAGAGCAGGTTTGGGGGGTTGTGTACCTCCTGGTAAATCCTACGGGTGAACATCCCTCTGGTGAAGGCCTGGATGGTGACAACAGCCTGTCTCACTCTCAGATAGGCCCGTCGATCTCTCACCATACGGTACTGTTTCTGACAGATGACGGCGGCTCGAGTCTGACGCAGGAAGTCGGCGTATCTGAAGACAAAATAAAAAAGTTGCACTTTGGTTTGTCTTCAATCAGGACTTAAAAAGTCAGTCAGTTAAATTCTTATTTACAGAGATAGTCAGTTAGTGGTGAATCAGGCTAAAAGGCTCCTATTACATCACTACATGTTCATATAAAGTATTAATTATAGGAGCTTAAAGTAAAACATGGAGGCAGATGGTGTTTTATCTCACTCTCAATTGAGGATTCCACCAAACCAGAGTTGGTGAAACACTAACAGAGACGGTTTCAGTGAGTTTTATTCTGTTTCTGTCCACTTTGAATGAAGTTACGATGATCTGAAGATAAAATGAGTGGTAGAAACCAGAGCACAGTTGCCCCACTGTATTAGCTAATTTTGGGGCACTCTCACTGAATACTGGACCAATTACAACACTTGTTGACTCCATTTGACACAAAAACATGGGAAAATAAGGTCCAGGTTGAAAATAAAAGATTAACTTCAGCTTCTCACTTCCTGTGTAAGTTCTGAAACAGTCTCAGTCTCAGTGGGTTCTGTGTGGGGTTACGTGCAGTGTATAACTGTTATATCAGCGCCATGAGGAACTCACCTGCGGGCCAGGTACCCTCGCCCGTATCTCTGCAGGGTGATCGCAGACTTGCGGATCTTTCGGTATCGAACTCTCTGCAACCAACCTCGAACCGTCTTCTGGATCTTGATACAGGCCGAGCGAAACTTATCCGCCCGCAGCTTCTCCAGGTACGCTACCTGACCCGCCCGGAAGAAGATCTTCGTCTTACCGAACTGGAACATGTCCGGCTCCTGAGACACAAGAGGACAGCTGGTGAGACACGGGGTCACACTGAATGAAATTCCTTCTTCATGCTTTCAGTCAAACAATAGCATTTCAAGGACTCGTGGGAACCATGGTGCACCAACTGCTGCTGCTAAACAGCTGAATGAACAACTAAAAGAACTGTGAATGGGTGTGTTGTTCAGAGCAAGTTGCAGGATATAAAAGGTCATAAATATAAATACAACAATGAATAAAACAACTTCATTTCAAGAAAACGACGTGTTAATAAGGTTTTCTTACCTTGATCAGAGTCTCCAGCAGGTTTTTACACACCAACTTCTTGTCTGCCAACATCATGTCAGACTTCTTCAGCAACACTCGATACCTGCTGAAGAAGTCTGGGTACGTCCACCTGGAAACAACACCAAGACACACGTTTGTCTCTGACAGCTTTTATTGTCATTTCTTTATGAATATGAAAACTTTATTGTTCACCCAGTGAAAATTAGTCTTCAGTTTAATGTTATACTTAATATGACAATAATGTGAACTACAGGGAGTCAGGGGGAGCTGGGCTCCTCTCAATAACACATGAGCTCCACTAAAAACATGAATTGTGAAATTTAGGGGGTCTCTGACATTACCAACACCAATATACTGACAACATGCTATTCTTGACACTTCTGTTTTTCTGTATCTTTATCAGGATCATGTGTACAATTAGTCTATTATTGATGTCTGTATGTCATTAACTGATCATTAATGATCAGATGTACAGAAGTAGGCCTTTATGGTTGCAGGTATGTTTCTTTGCAACTAGGTTTTTTTCACTAACTCCTTTTTCACTAAAATGGTTGAGTGTAAGTGCAGACGGTGTGTTCAGTATTGTTCTGGAAGGTTAACTGTCAGTGTGAACTCTCGTCTGACTCAGAGTTTGTTAAACAGCAGTTTTGTAGAGTTAAACGTCATATCATCTGCATACATTAATACTGTGTACAGCACTGTTGAGGGGGTCACAGTGGAAACAGATAGTGACCGTTTCAGAGCCTCTTTACACTCAGGTACATAACGAACAGACTTTTGTTGCTCTGCTGTCTCACAGACTCACATTATTAGATTTGGATGGAGGCAGTGACTCTGGAAATAAATTTTTAACCCTCAGAGCCGACAGGAGCTGACTGCTTACACCTGTGAGGTTCTTATGAGACCGATCTGAGGACAGAAGAGGACGAAGAGGGGGACTCACCTGGACGGGTATCCGGCTGCACTGATCCGGATAGTCTCCAGGACCCCACAGGCTCGGAGCTGCTGCACCGCTCGCCTTGAGTCGAACCTGCAGCGACAGGAAACAGTTTCACATCACCTTTGTTTCACACAGTTCAGCTCCGACACCAAACTCTTCCTCCTACCTCATCTGTTTCTTCGGCATCGCGCTCAGAAAGCAGCTGCTGAGTCAGTTTCCAGCCAACTGACTGGGAGCCAGACTGTCACACAACATGTGACTGAGGCCTGAAATTCAATTTAACAGCAGCAACAACAGGAGGAGGAGGAGGAGGAGCAACAGAAAGCTCAACCAGGGTTGTTTGTCGAAAGGAAACAATGAATAATGTGAATAATGTGTGACTGATTCATCCTTCACATATTTACATATACACTGTTTCCTGTCCTCAGTCACATCCATACATACAGTGACACAGTCAGCTGGAAGTCAGTCAGTCAGTCAGTTTCGATGCTGAGAGAAAGTCTGTCCATATAATGACGTCATACTAAATGCATATTATTGATGGTTTTTAATTCATTTGAAAAACCAGGATCATTATTATGTTTAAAGCCTATTTAATAGTTTTTTTTCTTATTTATTCAGAGAAGGTTCACTGAGAGGAAGCTTCTGATCACAGTCACACTGTTACACATTCACACCTGGAAGCTGCCCAGAACCACAGTCTGATCTGCTGCCACTGAGCAGTGCTTGGGGTTAAGAGCCTTGCTCAAGGGCACCTCAGAGGAGGGGGAACCGTCAACCTTCCACTCACAAGCTCGCATCTCTAACTTTTAGGCCACATTTACACAAATGTTATAACCTTTTAGTGGATAAAACTGATAGAAAACAAAGAAAAACTTTGTTTCCTGCCATAAATGCCAGTGTACCAATCCCAGTAAAAAAAGGAGAAGGTCATTATGAGTTTAAACATTATTATGAGTGAATGGTTTTATTGTGTCAGATGTTAGGAGGAGCTGGCAGATATCACAGATTAAAGTCACTTCTCGTATTTGCGATAATGACCTTCCTCTCTAAAGGCGAGTGGCGAGGAGGTAGAGCAGGTTGTACACTCAAACCCATGAACATTGTGCGTATTTTCAGGTGATTATAGACTAATGAAATACCTATGAATATTATATTAGTAATGTTGCACACTGGGGCTTCAATGAAAGTGAAACATGAATGGAGGTGCCTCTTAAACAGTTTAGGGAATGTGATAAACACCTGTCAAGATTCATCTGGAATAACAAAAAACCCAGAGAGAGATACTCAACATTCCAGCTGCCGGGGTGGGGGGGCATGGCCCTACCATGTCTTAAAGATTACTACCTGTCTGCTCAGCTGAGGCCTCTTGTGTGCTGGTGTAATCCGGCATATGAGGTTAGATGGAAAGACATTGAGCTGTCTTTAATGGACATACCTATACAATCAGTACTGGGTTGCCCCAGCAGAGTTAACAAGGCTCTCCAGCTTTAAAATCAGTTTGTTGCTTTCTCTATGAGGGTATGGTTGGAGGTGGTGAAGAGATTTCAGCTACACAGAGAGATAAGATTATTGAGCTGGCCGGCATATGATCCACAGTTCCTTCCAGCGTCACAGGACCACAGGTACAGACAATGGGCTAAGCGAGGTATTACTGCCTTCTGCCGAATATTAACAAATGGAAGACTTAATAGTTTTGAGGACTTATGCCAGGTGTATGAGCTGGGCAGAGAGGACTTCTACCAGTACCTACAGATTCTACACTTTTTTTTAAAGAATAAGGCCCTCTGATCCTACTGAGCCCTCAAGAATAACCCAGATACTCATTGATGCTTATTGAAAAAACACGAAAGGCATCATAGGCAAATTATAAAAGGGTTTTTGCTTAATGAATAAACATTCAACTAACTATATAAGGAGTGCTGGGAAAACCAATATAGTAATCTCAGAGGATGTGTGGCTTCAAATATGGGAGACCCAGTCGAGTGTGGATCAGTTTCAGCAGATCATGCTGTTACTGTGACTGTTACAACCATGTAGATCTATAATGTATATGTGTACAGTATTTTTTTTTTTTCTAACTAGACCTTTCAATGACCTGTACTTGTACTTTTTCTTTTGGCTTACTTTTACTTTGTATATGTAAAAATTCCAGACCTCACCCTTTCTATGTTCACATAAAAGAAAAAAAAAAAAGTATAAAAAAAAAAAAGTGAAACATGAATGTTGTCTGTGGTGCAGCGACTCACGAGAAGGCCTCCTTGTCATCGTTGGGTTTGATGCAGCGGACGTAATGAGGAGTAGTAGCATTCAGAGTCTCCATGAGAAGATGAAGAGAGGCACGGAACTGAAACAGAGAATCACATGAACATCGAGAACAAGGACAGCGACGCCACCGCGGGCAGCAGAGTGGAGCTCACCTGGTGTCCCACCGTCTTCCTGTGGTCTTTGTTGGGAGCTTTGGGCGTCGACTTCGCCGCTCGCACGTTGATTTTGGACGACTTCGAGGAGGTGACGTCTTCCTTCTCATGAAACAGGTCTGCGACCAGCTGGAACTGAGGGGGAACAGGCAGCCACGTTGATACCTCAGACAGCACTGCAGTTCCTCTAATGGCCACTGGAGGCTGGCTCCATATTAAAACCCCAACTGCACAGCCTCGTGCCCTTAACGAGACACTGTATCTTTATAGATTATATTGATCAGTATACACTGTATCTTTATAGATTATATTGATCAGTATACCTCACTCCACTGGCTGCCTATTCAATTTAGGATCCATTTTAAAATTCTTTTATTTGCTTTTAAATCCCTGAATGGTCTTACCCCGCCCTACCTCTCTGAGCTTCTACAACCTTATATACTCGCCCACACTCTCAGGTCAGCTGATCAGCTGCTCCTGAGTGTGCCTAAATCTAAGCGGAAGCTCAGTGGGGACCGTGCCTTTGCTGTGTCGGCTCCTAAATTATGGAATGATCTGCCTTTGCTCGTTAAACAGGCCTCTTCTCTGTCTGTTTTTAAATCCCTTCTTAAAACCCATCTCTTCTCTGTGCCCTTTGACACCTAGTAAGATGTCAACTTTATTTACTTGATTTAAATTCTTATTTTGATTGCTTTTTATTGCGTGGCTATTATTTTTACTCATGTATATTGCCTTTCATTTATTGTTGTACTTTATATGTAATTTTGCGCCTCATGTGAGCTGTTATGTCTCTTATTTATGATGTCTTATTTATTCTTCTGTACAGCACTTTGGTCAACTTTGGTTGTTTTAAAGTGCTTAACAAATAAAGTTGGATTGGATTGGAGTATACACTGTATCTTTATGGATGATATTGATCAGTATACACTGTATCTGTATGGATGATATTGATCAGAATACACTGTATTTATGGATGATATTGATCAGAATACACTGTATCTTTATGGATGATATTGATCCTGTATTGACAGTCAGACTGTGGACATATGACGGCCTTTAGCTCGTGTTTCTAGAGTTATGTGTTGTTACGAACACGGTAGGAATTGTTAAAATGTGATATTTCTTAAAGGGAGTTTGGTGCAGGGAGCTTTCAGTTGGATTCAAACTGCTAATATGGATCATTGTTAACGTTTTGTCTCTACTACAGAAACACTAGCTAACTGCTAAAGTCTGATAAGGTTGTCTCACAGCTGCTTAGTACAAACTGGCCGTCACCACATTGTGACCTCTGACCTCTGACCAGCTTCACTGAAGCGACGCGATGTGTGACGAGAAAGGATCTGAAAGATGAGTGAACACAAACAAAAGCTTTGACCCAGTTCTTCCCCATTAACCATTTATGGTCCAGAGACAGCACGCCTGACCTGTTCCACTGTTAAACTGCAGAATAAGAAGGTCACATTACAGAGGTCCTCCACCCTGAAACGTGTTCATTGAGCTGTGAACTGAACTGAAATGTCTCAACACACCCTCTACTGTACCTAGACTGTTTGGGACGACTTTACGTCAGACATTTCTATAAAAACAGAGTTAACTTCCTCGGCCCAGAACTTCCTGTGGAAAGGTAGAACTGTACTTTAGGATAAAGGAGGTCTGCCAGAGCTCCTCTGATCCCAGTGAAACCAGCAACCCTAACAGGGAGATTAAAGAACGAGGTCACAGGTTCCTGTTCTGCAGAACTTCAGCAGAGGAAGTAACACAAAGAGGGAAGTTAGCACTGTCTGTAGGTGTGGACCCCGAGGGCCTGTTCAGACCTGTAGACCTTACCACTTGTGATCTCACTTCCCCGCTCAAACTGTACTATGGTCTGTTTATTGCGGCCAGTTCCTGTATTTCAGTTCAGCTCCACACTGAACTCAGCTGTCGGCAGCACGCACTGTGGTGCATTGTGGGATTTTATAACTGGACACCCTGTTATTGATGTTTTCACCTCACAGATGAGGAAGGAAGGTATTAATGTCACAGAGAGTGAAAGTGAGTGTCTCTGCTGCCGAACGTCAAACTCATTCATTCATTCATTCATTCATTCATTCATGTGTAACATTTGCCCAAGGTCCAAATACTTAATAAGTTTCTTCTTCTTATTGTTGACTCTGTTCTGTCTCTGTTGACTTTCATGGCTTTATGGACCCATTCAGGGTCAGATCAGCTACAGATGTTGAGGTGTGAGACATTTCTTTATGCTACATACTTTATACACATAAACAATAAAATCATCATATAAAGGTAGTTCTGTGGTTCTGGTTCTATGGTTCTATGGCTCTGGTTCTGGATAGATGGCTCTGTGGTTCTGTGGTTCTGGTTTTGTTGTTCTGTTGTTCTGGTTCTATGACTCCGTTATTCTGTGGTCTGTGGTTCTGGTTCTGTTGTTCTGTTTTTTTGGCTCTGTGATTCTGTGGTTCTGGTTCTTACCTGACTGGCTTTGAGGATGTTTATCTGCTCCTCGTAGACAGTGTCTCTGTTCTTCTCCAGAAAGCCTTCACACTGATACTCCACCTGTCGACCCAACAGTCAACATAAATTAAATGTTGTAATGTGTTGGTGATGTTGGTGTTGGTGTTGGTGGTGTTAGTGTTGGTGTTGGTGGTGATGTTGTTGGTGCTGTTGGTGGTGGTGTTGGTTTTGTGTTGTTTTGTTGATTTGTTGGTGTTGTTGTGTTGTTTTGTTTTTGGGTGGTTTCTTTTTGTTGGTGATGGTGTTGGTGTTGATGTTGCTGGTGTTGATGTTGGTGTTGATGTTGGTGGTGATGTTGGTGGTGATGTTGGTGCTGTGTTGGTGTTGATGTTGCTGTTGGTGATGGTGATGGTGTTGCTGTTGGTGATGGTGTTGGTGTTGGTGTTGGTGTTGGTGATGGTGTTGATGTTGGTGTTGATGTTGATGTTGATGTTGGTGGTGATGTTGGTGGTGATGTTGGTGTTGATGTTGGTGGTGATGTTGGTGCTGTGTTGATGTTGGTGTTGATGTTGCTGTTGGTGATGGTGTTGGTGTTGGTGTTGCTGGTGTTTGTGGTGTGTTGGGGTTGGTGATGGTGTTGGTGATGGTGTTGATGTTGGTGTTGATGTTGAGTGGTGATGTTGGTGGTGATGTTGGTGGTGATGTTGGTGGTGATGTTGGTGGTGATGTTGGTGCTGTGTTGGTGTTGGTGTTGATGTTGCTGTTGGTGATGGTGTTGGTGTTGGTGTTGCTGGTGTTTGTGGTGTGTTGGTGTTGGTGATGGTGTTGATGTTGGTGTTGATGTTGGTGTTGATGTTGGTGGTGATGTTGGTGGTGATGTTGGTGGTGATGTTGGTGGTGATGTTGGTGCTGTTGGTGGTGTGTTGATGTTGGTGTTGGTGATGGTGATGGTGATGGTGTTGGTGTTGGTGTTGGTGGTGATGTTGCTGTTGTTGTTTTTGTTGTTGGTGTTGATAAGGTAACAGCAGAGAGTTCTGTGCTCACCTTGTCAGCGAAGTGTATGATGATGAAGGAGGTGTTGGACATACGAGGTTTCTGGAAGTGAGCACTGCTGGAGTTCTGCTTATAGAGCTTCTGGGCCCAGTTCTGATCTGTTCCCTTCGGCACCTGGAAGCAGATCATAGAACAACAGGAAGAGGAAGAGGAAGAGGAAGAGCGGTGGAAGAGCTTTATTTCCGCCATCACTGAGACTCTTTTCTGATTCTCTTCAATCTACAGACACAATCTGCTCACATTGACAAACATGGTTGTCTTTTCAACACAGATTAGCGTAGCATATAGCATATCTAAGTACAGGAAAGGAGGAAGTTGAATGAGGTTCTGACCGAATCTTGCTCAACTGTTATTGCAGCACAAATCAAAAAGGGGCGGGGCTTAGAAAGGGTACATTTTCACCATCTTAGTTCAACCTGTTAGCATGCTAGATTTATTAGCTAGATGAAGAACACTGATCTCAATAACACACTCCATATTCAGTTCCATTATTATATTCTAACAGCCAACCACATTCACTCTGTTTCTAATCAGACGGCAGTTTATGGGCAAGAACAGGAGCTCAGTTCTCACTTTACACTCTTCATCCAGCAGGTCCAGGATGCCGAGTCGAGCCTCGATCAGGTCTATGCATGGCTGGTTGTCATAGAAGTCTATGAGGGTCCAGGGGATCTGCTCCTTCATGTACTCCTCCTGCTCCAGCTTGAACACGTGCTGACAAGACAGAGCACATACAGAGGGGTTAGACTGTTCAGGTTCAGGTTCAGGTTCGGACCCAGCCATGTAAGATTTTAAAGGAGAGGAGGCGCACAGAGTTGAACTGCTGCTGAAGCTTCTCGTTGGCGTAGTTGATGCAGAACTGCTCAAAGCTGTTCACCTCAAACGTCTCGAACCTGCAGACAGACAAACAAACAAGTGACTATGCTGACGCTAACACCGGGCGTCACAACAAGGGCGCATGCAAACAAATTGTCTCCATGGAAATTGCTGAATATAACTGCTGTAAAGGGCTTCATGTATCCTCTAAAGGGATTCTGTGCAGCAGCCATCATTCAAAATGGCATTTTAACCCTTTAAGATCACATCCTCAGTTATATTGTTTTCCTGTTTAACACAATATTTACAAAAACTAAATTTCTTTGTATTTTTATATTAAAATCCATCACTTTGTCTTGCTGTGTCGCATGCTTACGTAAACACGAACAAACTGATTTCAACCAATAATATCATGACATTCACGCGTCAATCAGATACCGAGGTGACCGAGTTTCCATCTGAAAGCTAAGCTATAAATGCTACAAAGCTAGCAAAACTGGCAATAAAACCACCTAAGTCCTTTATTCCCTGCAGTCAAACTGTCCTCCGTTCTCATCAGATGGTGCATTCAGTCCCGGTCTGGACCTGCTGTTCACTGGGAGCTCCCAGTCCAACAGAGTCAGCTAATGGATCCACTACAGCTGCTGGACTGGGGGGACGTAGCACACAGCGCTATTAGCTACTGCGACAGGTCTCTCCCTACCAGGAAATACGTAAATATGAGGAAGCAAACAGGTCTCTGATTTCTGTCTCACCTGGACTTTAAGGTGTTTTGTGCTGCTTTATGTAAGAGTTAAATATAATCTGGAGGTCAAAGGTCTCAGCTCACAGCCTTATCTCAAAGCTTTATTGTCATTTTTATTGTCTTTGATTGTCTCCCTGTGGGACAATAAAGATCTGACAAGTGTAGCAGGGACAGCTGAATGCTGCACTGAGGCCTGGAGGGCGTCAGAGTTGAGAGGATAAGGATGATGAAGGCTATATACCCGTAGATGTCCAGCACTCCGATGAAGGAGTGCTGTTTGGTCGAGGTCTGTAGGGCCTTGTTGATGTGCTCCACGATCCAGTCGAACATGCGTGCGTAGATGTGTTTGGCGAGCGCGTTGCGGGCGTTGGTTGCCTGCTTGCTGGACATGTTCTTGACGTAGGTCTCGGACGCAGTGACCAGCTTCCTGTGACAGAGCCAGTGCTCCATCTGCTGCATCTCAACACCCATCAGCTGGCAGAAGTGTTTGAGGTGGACGTCATCCCTCTGAACACATACAAACAGACAGATTCAGCCGTTAGAGGACGCTCGCCCTGACCTGCTGACCATCGACTGTAACCACGGTGACGTACTGAGATGTGACACGACTCGCCGTCTCGCTCCGGGCAGATCTCGATGTTTCCCAGATGAAGAATGGAGGCAATGACCTTAAAAATACTGCTCTGACTGCTGTCCTTTATCCCTGAAACACAGTCACATGTTCAATGTCCAACACATTCAGCACACAGTAGACACACGGCAAACACATGTTGGACAAATGTTGGACAAAAGTCACATTTGTGATGAAGTGATGAAACATGACACAAATATGATGAAATCTATACATTAATATGATATTTATATAGTACGTTAATATGTAGGATGGGTGCTCACCCAGCAGTGTGAAGGCTTCTCTGGTCTTTTTAAAGTCTTCAGCATCGTTCACTCCCTCGATGAAGATGTTCTCTCCCAAAGATGTGAAGGTGAAATCTTCTGCGCTGGCTGACAGACACAAACAGGAACCAATCAAACACTCTGAGGTCAGCAGGTAAAAACTAGGCGGATGATGTTTTATTCATTATTCATAAAACTGTGTGAATACCAGCAGGGTTTGAAATATTTCTCCTGTACTGAACTCAGAGGAGTCCTCACAGTCCTCACAGAGCTCACGCTCTCTCTGAACTCACCGTTACAGTCGTACCTGAGAACACCTGAGCAGTGCAGTAGTAATGTAGTAGTAAGTCTGGTTCCATGGAAACAAACAGGTAGACTCAATTCAATTCAATTCAATTTTATTTGTATAGCGCCAATTCATAACAGACGTTATCTCAGGACACTTTTCAAATAGAGCTGGTCTAGACCGAACTCTTTACTCACTGAGGCTGAGCTCTTTGAACTCTGGTAGACTGGCAGAGGCACACAGCTGGTAGAATATGTGATAATTCCTCTCATCCTCCGCCTGTCAACAGACAACAACAACATATTATTATATTATATTATATTATATTATATGATTATACACAGAGTGGAAATACTGCAGTAACCTGTCACTATGTACTGTCCTGTACACTGTATACTGTACACACTGTACAGTATACTACTTTACACTGTCCTGTACACTGTACACTGTACACTGTACACAGTCACTAAACAACGAATCAAACTGACCTGAAAAACAACCCGGGACTTCTCCAGCAGGTACGTTCTCATGTTGGCGCCGATAATGTGATAACGCCGGCTGAATCCGATCTGAATGTACTTTCCAAAGCGACTGCTGTTGTCGTTCCGAGTGGTTTTGGCGTTTCCAATAGCCTGAGGACGGAGAGCACAGTGTCATCAGCATAATGTGATATCAGAATTTAACAGCAGAACACCTTCAGTACGTAAATGTTCATGTTTGAAGGAACGAGCACACTCTGGTCACTGTATCCGAAATAAGAGCATTAGTATCAACATTAGCTGTACATTCTAATGTGTTATGAAACAGTATACTGAGTTATTGTTTTTGTGGTTCTTGTAGGTGCCTGACCAACCAGCTGAGACTCCAGGAAGTAATTGCTCCCAGAGAGGACATGGTCTGTAACTTTTCATACTGTTTCAGTGTTTGCACAGATGAAACAAAGCAAATATAACATCAGTTATTCAGTGGTGGTTGGGACAGAGCTATGCTAAAACTAAACAAAAATTGAATTGAGTCATAACAATAAAAATATTAATTTGCATGATGAGTTGTTGAGGAAGAATTTAATAGTCTCAGAGGGAAAGATAAAGATGAAACTGAACATCAGTAGTGTGTCAGTCACTCACCTCCATGATGGGACTGGAGGCGAGCACTTTCTCCTCCACATTGGTGTCGTTGGCTGAGCCGCCCACTGTGGCAAAGAAACGCATGGCGTACTTTGCAGAAACCGTCTTTCCTGCTCCGGACTCTCCGCTCACTATGATGGACTGATTCCTCTCGTCTCTACAGGACACATTATCATTATTATTATTAATAAGCCTACATCCTCTATTCACAGCCACTGAGGAGAAAATAGGAGGAACAACTGTATAATATTATATAATATGAGTTCTGGAAGAAAATAAAGTACTTTATTGTTGGTATCAGTACTTAAAGTATCCTCAAAACGTTACAACATTCTGTCAAAAATATATACATATATCATTTATTCTCAAAATATTAAACACACAGTGTGTAGTTTCTGCCACTGGGAGGGGCTGCTGCTAATGTTAGCTGCTAACGCTGCTGCTAACGTTAGCTCAGCTTGTTTCTCTGATAACTTAAGATCCAGACGTCCGATGACTAAAATCCTTCATCCGGTTCAAATCTAGAGTTAAAAAGCACCAAGATCTAAACAGTGGATGGTAAACAGTCAATGTATGACAGCCTGGTTATTGATTATTGATTGAATCAGCTCCATATAGAACATAGCTCTAGAGTTTATACCCTGTTTAATGAGGAGATGCTACAGATTATTAGAAGTCTTTATAGTGGGAGTATTTCCTCTGTAATGTATCTAACATTCTGAATTAAGCAGTGTGCTGCAGGTGAAGGAGTCGTGATGTTCAGGCTGTAATTACAGTTGATGAAACCATCAGATGAACCCTGTAATCATCCTCCTACACCACCAGCTCCACAGATATCTCAGGAAACACACATCGTCTCTGTGCTGCTGCATGTGAGGATCAAAAATTAATGATCTGATCATCAATACAATGATCATTAGACAGGTTCAGGTCTGACCTGGCCATCTGCTTGTACGCCTCTTCAGCCACAGCAAATATATGGGGGTCCATGTCCCCCATGTTTTGACCGCTGTAGGCGTTGATGACCTCCTCTCCGTAGATCTGCAGCTGCTCGTACGGGTTGATGGCCACCAGCACGATCCCTGCACACACGTCACACATCAAATCATACATCACATCACACAAATATCATATCATATCATACATCATATCATATCATATCATACCATACCATACCATATCATATCATATCATACCATACCATATCATATCATATCATACCATATCATATCATACGTCATATCATATCATATCATACCATACCATACCATATCATATCATATCATATCATATCATATCATACGCATATCATATCATATCATACCATACCATATCATATCATATCATACCATATCATACCATACCATACCATACCATATCATATCATATCATATCATATCATACGTCATATCATACGTCATATCATACATATATCATATCTTATCATATCATATCATATATCACATCATACATATATATTATATCAATAATACACTACATTATTATTATTTGATCATATTAATATATGATGAAGGATCTTTTATTAACACTGAGATGAGCTTCACCAGAGTCATAAAAAGTTACACTTTTATCCTGATCAGGGTGTAAAACAGGCCAGACTGCAGACAATCAATAATAATCAATACCAATGTGATCAGCTGGGATTAGCGCCATATGTGGGAAATGAAGGGATTTAATAAAAGGCTATAAAGTGCATGTTTTGTTTCAATGGAAGTTGAAAGTAAAGCCGCACTGTGTACTTATCCATTACTCACTGTGTCAAATTCATTCTTAAATTATAGCTAGAAACCTATTGTGAGGTCACAATGACCTTTGACCTTTGAGTCAAAAGTGTCACCAGTTCGCCTTCTGTTCCTGAGCCACAACGGCCAGAAAAATGTTATTCCAGGACAACAAGATGTCACAGTGAAGCCGACCTTTGACCTTTTAGACGTCACTTCATCACTGTATCCCATTAAACACCTGAGTGACATCTTTTCATAATTACAGCATCAACTCATGAGTTATCGCCAAAAACGTGTTTGATCAGGTCGTTCTGACGTCACAGTGAAAATTCTACTCAGATATCTTAAAGTGTGTTCAAATGTGTATCCTCGAGTCCAGGTGGATGTTAAAATTCCCTCCAGACGTTCCTGAGAGATAACGGACAACCTGGAGCCACACACTAGAAATGATTTACTGAATACTAATGAAAGAAGAAGAGAGATACTGACCGCAGTAGGTGTAGATGTGGTTGGACTCCAGGAAGCGGACTCTGAGGTTGTGCAGGACTGCAGGTTCATGCAGGTAACTGAGGGCAGTGAGGTCGTTCTCCCCAACCAGGATGTCGGGGTTCCGGAGGAAAGGAAGGGGGTTGCTCTTCGGACCCACAGGATACTCCAGAGGCTGAGACAGCGGGACACAATACAGCACCAATACACAATCAATATCATCAATACGCAATCAATATTATCAATAGCATTAATGGCTTTATGCCACAGGGGGTCTGTTGGTGTGTGTAGTTCTGTGAATCTGATGATTGTTGTGAGGCAGAATTACAGGATGTTTAATATAATATATATATATATATATATATATATATTATATTAATAATTGTGTTTAAGTACATATTTATTCACTCTGGTCACAGAGGAGGTGAAATAACTGCTGAGCTGTGTGTCACAGTGTGTGTCACAGTGTGTGTCAGTAACATAAAGAACAACAACTACCGTCTCATCCTCCAGTTTGAGGTGGAGAACCGGTTCTCCTTCCTTGTAGTCCCTGACGATCTCTGCAGCCTTCCAGACATCCTCCGGGTCTGGGATCCAGACCCGAGTGAACTGGAACAGACAGGGACCACAGATATCCAGCATGAGTCTACAGGTATAGATGAGTACCCACAATGCACCTCTTCTCTCTAAATTGGTGCTTTGTGTGATAAACTGAAGAGAAATTCTAACTTTAAATCAAACTGTTTGATCGTCTGAAGCAGATCAATAACTGGGCACAGAGGATGGTTCCAACAACGTTCTTACATAGTTATTTATTTAACAGAACAGTTTCATTAAAGCTTCTACATATGAGATATTAAACATTATATTCTCTATATACAGTCACATGGTGTCTCTCTCCCTCTGCTTGTGTTGTATCGCAGCCTCTCTGTGGTTTGTTTCCATAGCCGGTCTGCTCCGACTGAAACTGCTGTTTTTATCATCTACGTCGGTGAATGAAGGATTTATTTCCACCAAACCAGAGTCGGTGATTGTTGGAAACACTAACAGAGACGGTTTAATGAGTTTTATTCTGTTTCTGTCCACTTTGAATGAAGTTACAATGATCTGAAGGTAAAATGAGTGTTTGTGTCTCTGGAGTCTGGTGGAGAGTGATAGTGATATTACGGCTGTTTGTGGTTAAACTAAAGGTCTATCTCTGTAGGGATCCTTTCCATAATGCTGTCAGACACTGACAATAACAACCTGAGTCTGTCAGTGGCAGAAACTACTACTGTTAGTGGAACAAACAACAACAACTGATAGTGGAACAAACAATAACTACTGTTAGTGGAACAAACAACAACAACAACTGTTAGTGGAACAAACAACGACTACTGTTAGTGGAACAAACAACAACTACTGTTAGTGGAACAAACAACTACTACTGTTAGTGGAACAAACAACTACTACTGTTAGTGGAACAAACAACTACTACTGTTAGTGGAACAAACAACGACTACTGTTAGTGGAACAAACAACTACTACTGTTAGTGGAACAAACAACAACTACTGTTAGTGGAACAAACAACTACTACTGTTAGTGGAACAAACAACAACTACTGTTAGTGGAACAAACAACTACTACTGTTAGTGGAACAAACAACTACTACTGTTAGTGGAACAAACAACGACTACTGTTAGTGGAACAAACAACTACTACTGTTAGTGGAACAAACAACAACAACTGTTAGTGTTTACAGGGAGTATTGTCAGCTTAAAGTTGCAACCATTGCAGAACCTTTACAGAACAAATCCTTTCTTCTCTAACTCTGAATCCAGGTGGAGGTTCCTGTTAAACTCGGCATTTGGAGGCTGTGCCACCAGATAAAGTTTCCTCCCAGGTCTGTCTCAGATTCCAGTGCAGCTGGCAGGAATCACTGACAGTATTTAGGATTTATTCAATAATTATCCCTTTTTCCATTAGACGGCACCAGGAGCAGTTGGATTGTGTTTGTTAATGTTCTTGTCCTTTCTTTCTTTCTTTCTGAAAATGAATTAGTACCGTGAAGGAAAACCTGTCCCTGTATGAGCTCTGATGCTGCTGTAAAGCACACAGTCTGTCCTCACTATCACTGCAGGATCACTGCTGCTTTCATCCTCCTCATCAAAGCTTCATCACCTCCTCACTGATAGTTAGTACTGACTAATTACAGCACTGCAGCTCTGATCGGTGAGCGTCTCACACTCTCTCCAACATTCTTCTTCTGTCTCACATATTGAGGACGAGATTATCTGCTGAGTCAGGATTCAGTGAGCCCTGAGGGAGAGACGGCATGAGTCAGCAGTCTGAAACAGAAGCCACTAACAGGACCATCTGTACCACAGAGGTCTCCTCCTCTCCACAACCAACAGACCTGCTGATTAAAACCAGTAACACCACGGAGTAAAGCAGTTCCACCTTAAAAACCACTGCTTCTCCCACAATGCTTCATTCTCTTTATTCTGACTTTATTCTCTTTATTCTGACTTTATTCTCTAGATTCTGACTTTATTCTGACTTTTGAAACACTGGATCCTACATTTCCCACAATACACCTGGACCGTGTCTTTTCTTTAAAATTAAATTAAAACCTTATCCTTTAATAATAGTTCTCCTGTATTTATTAGGGTAGAATATGGATTAAAACCGTTAATAATAGTTCTCCTGTATTTATTAGGGTAACGTTGTGGCAACCACCGCTGCCAGTCTTTCACAGTGTACAGTAACTCTCACACAACCTGCGTTGGATACATTTCCTCAGTCAGCACTTTTCTCTTAAATGACAGCAGATCTAATGTAAAGCAGTGTCTGATAAATATACATTATATTCTAATAATGCAGCTGCTTTAAATACCCGTCAGATAAACAACGTATTATTATATTTCATGAATTATTAAACAACATTATCGTTACTGGCTGATTTCACTACATCAGACTGTGCACACAATACTGGAAATATACCTCAACTGTCCACGATGTGTGGGAACCCTCAGATGACATCACTATGTTTCACTCTGTGTGTGTGTGTTTATTCAAATGACTTTCTGGTTTCGGTAAAGTTGATTTGCATTGAAGCAGCTGAAGACGACACTGTGATGTACTTAAACCATTAAAGACACACACACACACACATATGTATCAATATGTGTGTGTGTGTGTGTGTGCGCGTGCACACGGGTGAATGTGGCACGTAGTGTAAAAGCGCTTTGAGTGGTCGGAAGACTAGAAAGGAAAATATACAAGTACAGGTCCATTTACCATTTATGTGGTTCTGGGACTTTGTAACTTTGTTTTGTATAAATAAAGTTTATTCATATGATTATTATTATTCTATACTCTGCAGTAAATACTCCAGTGTGTATTTATACTGTTTCCTCTCTGAGGATCAATAATGATCTGATCATTCAAACAGTAAAGTAGGATGGTGAAGGCAGAGTTTGTCTGTTGTTGGTGTGTATTTCAGATTTATTTATTTATTGTATTTCAGATTTATTTATTTATTGTATTTCAGATTTTTTTGTTTTTTATGAATTCTTTCAGATTTGATGGATTTATTATTTATATAGATGTGTATATAGATTTATATATATATATAGATGTATATATGCGCTGCTGAGTTCTGAGCTCAATGTCATTAACAGTATGTGAAATATGATGTTTCTGTTAACATTAATATTTTATTTGTATTATTACTGATCTGTTGTTAGGGCGACTAACATCAGTTCAACTGATATAATCTAATATAATGAGACAGAATATTGTAATATTGTCAATACGAGCTGCAGCTGTGTTTACTTTGTGATATAATTTCATACACAGATTCAATAATGTTTCATTTCTGAATCCAAACTGTAATTTCACCTTTAAGTTTTAATTCATTTAAACAACGAGTCAGTTCAGGCAGACAGACAGACAGACAGACAGGCAGACAGGCAGACAGACAGACAGACAGGCAGGCAGGCAGGCAGGCAGGCAGGCAGGCAGGCAGACAGACAGACTCATTATAAAGTGTTAACGTGAGAGGAAGTGAAGAACTCATTCATGTTCCTCTCAGCCAATCAGAGCTCAGCAGACTGTTTATCTGGGACACTGTCAGAAACCCACCAATGGCTGCGCAGCACACCGTCTGTATGTGGGACAACTCAGCATGAGACAGACAGTGAGGACGGCACCCACATACAATAAACAAACAATAACAGTCACATATAATCAGTAATATAATGACAGCAGGCATATTTTTAAAATAAAGGCGTCTTTGATCCGTCCCTCCAGGATTTTGGGGCTTTTTTTGATTGTTGTGACCTAAAATGATTTCACAGCTGTTAGCTTAGCTACAAACAAGTAGCAGACAGAAACTGTGACAGTGAGTCTGAGGCTGACAGGGGGAGGAGCTAACAGCCCTGAAGGTTCCACTTGAATTCATTCAAACACTACAAAGAGCTGCTGTCGGGGGGGAGTTAAAGAACAGTGACACCTGCAGCAGTGAGAGTGCAGGAGGGGGGAGGAGGAGGAGGGGGAGGGGGAGGAGGAGGAGAGCAGGTTGTAGAACAGGTTCCTGTGTGCAGGTGAAGTGTCAGATTAACAGAAAGCAGTCGGCCTGTCAGAGACTGCAGGAGGATCAGCAGTCTGAGGCTCCGCCCCCACAGAGTCAGCACAATGACATCACCCTCCGCAGGGGAGGGGGGGGGCTGGGTGTGTCCGACAGGAAGCTACAACACAGGTAAAGGTACAACACCTGTAACTGTACCTGTAACTGTACTGTATCTTTATTGATTATTGATCAGTATACACTGTATCTGTATGGATTTATTGATCAGTATACACTGTATCTTTATGGATTATTGATCAGTATTCACTGTATCTTTATTGATTATTGATCAGTATACACTGTATCTTTATGGATGATATTGATCAGTATTCACTGTATCTTTATGGATTATTGATCAGTATACACTGTATCTTTATGGATGGTATTGATCTGTATACACTGTATCTTTATGGATGATATTGATCAGTATACACTGTATCTTTATGGATGATATTGATCCTGTATTGACAGTCAGACTGTGGACATATGACGGCCTTTAGCTCGTGTTTCTAGAGTTACGTGTTGTTACGAACACGTTAGGAATTGTTAAAATGTGATATTTCTTAAAGGGAGTTTGGTGCAGGGAGCTTTTAGTTGGATTCAAACTGCTGATATGGATCATTGTTAACGTTTAGTCTCCACTACAGAAACACTAGCTAACTGCTGAAGGCTGATCAGGTTGATTAATGCTTTATTAATGGGAGTATTGATTACTGATCAGGTTGTGTTTTTGCCGTCCCGTCTTGAACCATCCGTCCAACTGCTACCAAACCTTCTTCTGATCAACACTAGCATAAGGGTTATTGATATCTTAGTTTACAACATTGTTGTTGTTATTATTGTTGTTGTTATTGTTATTGAACATTAATTGCAGGTCTGTTACTGACAATTCATTTCATCATTGATCAGTTATGAAATGTATCATTATTGAAATACAACGATAGAAAGTTCAACGTTTTCACTGAGGAAACAGAACATCTTACAATGACTGGTTAATGATTCCAACAGATATATAGATTATATAGATTATAGATTCATATATTGTTGATTGATCAGTTAATTAACTGACTAATTCTTCCCTCAGCCTCACAAAGGAATCAGACTTCCTGAACTGAACTAATTAGAGATCCACAGAAAACCATTAATCCTCTAACACACACACACACACACACACACACAGACACACACACACACACACACACAGACACACACACACACACACACAGCGCGGGGGGGGTAATCCCACTCATCCAGATCCAAAACCTGCCCCCCCACATCCTGAAAAACAAAGAGGAGCCTCCGTCAGCAATAAATTAATCTATGTTTAAAAACAATCAATAAATGATCAGTGCTGATTGATGATCAGTGATCAGTACTCACTGGTTCTGTTTTATTTGACAGAAACTGAATCTGACGTCAGCTGGTTAATCAATAATGAAACTGATCAACAACCTGTTCACAAACATTACAGGGAACCCAGGCTCAGACTCAGACCTGGACCTGGATCAGAGTCCCTGTCTGATCAGAAATAATCAACCAGAGGAGAATCCCTGAGTCAGCACAGTCTCAGACCTGAACACAGAGCAGATGGAGAGCGAGCCCGGCCCTCCTGGATCCAGCTCCGGATTACTGAGTCTCACAGCGGGGACAGGGTTTAAGTGGCCCTGCTTAATGATGTGGACTACAGAGTCCAGAAAGAGGGATTACAGACCTGCTGTCCAAATCAGAGCTCTGCATCCAGAGAGCCACGCTTTTACATCAATAACTGATCAATAACTAATCAATAACTGATTAATATCTCATCAAAATGTGTTCAGTTTTTTCTCAATATTTGATCAATAGACATCATTAATCATGTTTGATACATCTCATCAATATCTTATCAAAATTAGTAAAATATCTGCTCAATATCTGATCAATATCTGATCAATATCAAGTCGGAATCACAACATCCTCCATCGTCAGACTGGAGCGGCTGATAATCAATAATCAATCAATCAAACTTTCACCGACTGATGGTTTAGTCGTTAAAAACAACTTCATGATTGTAAGACTGAAATTGCTGATCAAAAATCAATAATCAACACTGCACCCTACGTGTCCCATAATGCACCTGGAATGTGCCACATCTTTCAAACTGTCTGATGACATCACTCTGACGTCAAAACGAGGCGTAGAAAGCAGCTTTAACAATGAGCTGATTTTATCATTTAAATTAAAGATGGATTTTAAATCGGAAACTAAAGTCACACTCACTCCTGATCAGTGATCAATGACTCGATCAATCAATAAAGCTGCTGCTCTACAGCATAAAGCACTTGATGCACCAGACTCCATTATAAAAACAGCTCAAATAAGCCAACAAACACGGTGAGTCTGTGGCTGCACCTGTCCGCTCAGTGTTGAACTCCATTCAAAAATATGTAAATTTAAACCCCAGTTGTCGCTTATGAGAAAAACTCTTTAAAACGACTCAACACAACGACTGTCCGCGCTCTTCTGCCACAATTGGCTCACATATAATCCAAAACGCAGCAATAATGTCGGTATTATTCAAACTTTTGCTCAGTTAACACCGTCGCTCCGCGCTGCCTGCGTTACAGAGCTAACAGGCTGCTAACAGGTGACTCACCGCTAAGTTTCACTAAAACAACATAAAGTTTGGTTCATGTCGAACAGCGCAGGAAAATCTGAGTGTTCCTTAAAACCAGTGTTTGTTAAACGGGGTTCTGAATGGAGTTTGTGTCTCAACGTACCCGGAGTCTGCTCTGTGCGTGAGGAATGACGTCGGTGTGTTCCACAGGTAAAGCTCACCTTTGTGTACAGCTCGTTCACAGACATCTCCCCTGTCTACGACGCTCGCGCTGTTCAGTCCATTCAAATCCTCTTTTTATCCGGAAGTTTCCTGATAAAAACAGCAACTTTTAGTCCGCATGTCCCCCCGGTGGAGCGGGCAGAGAGCGGGCAGGTGTCCCCGGTGGAGCGGGCAGAGAGCGGGCAGGTGTCCCCGGTGGAGCGGGCAGAGAGCGGGCAGGTGTCCCCGGTGGAGCAGCAGGTGTCCCCGGTAGAGTTTCGGTCGGTGTTGTCGGTGTTTGTCCGGCTGTCAGCGACCGGTCGGCCGGTGTTTCCCCGCCGGTGTTCCCGCTGTGTCCGCGGCGGTAAAAGGAGCAGAATTGTTCCAGAAACAGAAGAAGAGACTAAAGAGGCTCTACTTCCTGTGTGTCATCTACTGTTCACTCACACACCAACTGGATCCTCAGAGCACTGCAACAGCTTCTCAACATGAGGGTCGCGGCCCACAAACGGCCCCCAGATGAACCCGGAGAGAGCAGTGGTTGCAACGTCCGTCAGAGACTGAACTCATCATATTTATATAAAACTGAACTGTTAAATGTTTTATGTTTCTAACTTCAGAGTGAGTGCAGTTACTGCTGTCAGCCTTTAGGGGCAGTTACTGCTGTCAGCGTTTAGGGGCAGTTACTGCTGTCAGCGTTTAGGGGCAGTTACTGCTGTCAGCCTTTAGGGGCAGTTACTGCTGTCAGCCTTTAGGGGGCAGTTACTGCTGTCAGCCTTTAGGGGGCATTACTGCTGTCAGCGTTTGAGGGCAGTTACTGCTGTCAGCGTTTAGGGGCAGTTACTGCTGTCAGCCTTTAGGGGGCAGTTACTGCTGTCAGCCTTTAGGGGGCAGTTACTGCTGTCAGCGTTTAGGGGCAGTTACTGCTGTCAGCGTTTAGGGGGCAGTTACTGCTGTCGCGTTTAGGGGCAGTTACTGCTGTCAGCCTTTAGGGGCAGTTACTGCTGTCGCGTTTAGGGGCAGTTACTGCTGTCAGCGTTTAGGGGCAGTTACTGCTGTCAGCGTTTAGGGGCAGTTACTGCTGTCGCGTTTAGGGGCAGTTACTGCTGTCAGCCTTTAGGGGGCAGTTACTGCTGTCGCGTTTAGGGGCAGTTACTGCTGTCAGCGTTTAGGGGCAGTTACTGCTGTCAGCCTTTAGGGGGCAGTTACTGCTGTCAGCGTTTAGGGGCAGTTACTGCTGTCAGCCTTTAGGGGCAGTTAGTGCTGTCAGCCTTTAGGGGCAGTTACTGCTGTCAGCCTTTAGGGGCAGTTACTGCTGTCAGCGTTTAGGGGGCAGTTACAGCTGTCAGCGTTTAGGGGCAGTTACTGCTGTCAGCCTTTAGGGGCAGTTACTGCTGTCAGCGTTTGGGGGCAGTTACTGCTGTCAGCGTTTAGGGGCAGTTACTGCTGTCAGCCTTTAGGGAAGTTACTGCTGTCAGCCTTTGGGGGCAGTTAGTGCTGTCAGCCTTTAGGGGGAAGTTAGTGCTGTCAGCCTTTAGGGGGCAGTTAGTGCTGTCAGCCTTTAGGGGCAGTTAGTGCTGTCAGCCTTTAGGGGCAGTTACTGCTGTCAGCGTTTAGGGGCAGTTACTGCTGTCAGCGTTTAGGGGCAGTTACTGCTGTCAGCCTTTAGGGGCGTTACTGCTGTCAGCGTTTAGGGGCAGTTACTGCTGTCAGCGTTTAGGGGCAGTAACTGCTGTCAGCCTTTAGGGGAGTTACTGCTGTCAGCCTTTAGGGGGCAGTTAGTGCTGTCAGCGTTTAGGGGGCAGTTACTGCTGTCAGCCTTTAGGGGGCAGTTACTGCTGTCAGCGTTTAGGGGCAGTTACTGCTGTCAGCCTTTAGGGGGCAGTTACTGCTGTCAGCGTTTAGGGGCAGTTACTGCTGTCAGCCTTTAGGGGCAGTTACTGCTGTCAGCGTTTAGGGGCAGTAACTGCTGTCAGCCTTTAGGGGGCAGTTACTGCTGTCAGCCTTTAGGGGCAGTTACTGCTGTCAGCCTTTAGGGGGCAGTTACTGCTGTCAGCGTTTAGGGGGCAGTTACTGCTGTCAGCCTTTAGGGGGCAGTTAGTGCTGTCAGCCTTTAGGGCAGTTACTGCTGTCAGCGTTTAGGGGCAGTTACTGCTGTCAGCCTTTAGGGGCAGTTACTGCTGTCAGCGTTTAGGGGCAGTTACTGCTGTCAGCCTTTAGGGGCAGTTACTGCTGTCAGCCTTTAGGGGCAGTTACTGCTGTCAGCGTTTAGGGGCAGTAACTGCTGTCAGCCTTTAGGGGCAGTTACTGCTGTCAGCCTTTAGGGGGCAGTTACTGCTGTCAGCGTTTAGGGGCAGTTACTGCTGTCAGCCTTTAGGGGCAGTTACTGCTGTCAGCGTTTAGGGGCAGTTACTGCTGTCAGCCTTTAGGGGCAGTTACTGCTGTCAGCCTTTAGGGGGCAGTTAGTGCTGTCAGCCTTTAGGGGCAGTTACTGCTGTCAGCGTTTAGGGGGCAGTTACTGCTGTCAGCCTTTAGGGGCAGTTACTGCTGTCAGCCTTTAGGGGGCAGTTAGTGCTGTCAGCGTTTAGGGGCAGTTACTGCTGTCAGCCTTTAGGGGCAGTTACTGCTGTCAGCCTTTAGGGGCAGTTACTGCTGTCAGCGTTTAGGGGCAGTAACTGCTGTCAGCCTTTAGGGGCAGTTACTGCTGTCAGCGTTTAGGGGCAGTAACTGCTGTCAGCCTTTAGGGGCAGTTACTGCTGTCAGCCTTTAGGGGGCAGTTAGTGCTGTCAGCCTTTAGGGGCAGTTACTGCTGTCAGCCTTTAGGGGCAGTTACTGCTGTCAGCCTTTAGGGGGCAGTTAGTGCTGTCAGCCTTTAGGGGGCAGTTACTGCTGTCAGCGTTTAGGGGCAGTTACTGCTGTCAGCCTTTAGGGGCAGTTACTGCTGTCAGCCTTTAGGGGGCAGTTAGTGCTGTCAGCGTTTAGGGGCAGTTACTGCTGTCAGCGTTTAGGGGCAGTAACTGCTGTCAGCCTTTAGGGGCAGTTACTGCTGTCAGCGTTTAGGGGCAGTAACTGCTGTCAGCCTTTAGGGGCAGTTACTGCTGTCAGCCTTTAGGGGGCAGTTAGTGCTGTCAGCCTTTAGGGGCAGTTACTGCTGTCAGCCTTTAGGGGCAGTTACTGCTGTCAGCGTTTAGGGGGCAGTTACTGCTGTCAGCGTTTAGGGGCAGTTACTGCTGTCAGCCTTTAGGGGGCAGTTAGTGCTGTCGGCCATTAGGGGCAGTTACTGCTGTCAGCGTTTAGGGGCAGTTACTGCTGTCAGCGTTTAGGGGACAGTTACTGCTGTCAGCCTTTAGGGGCAGTTACTGCTGTCAGCGTTTAGGGGCAGTAACTGCTGTCAGCCTTTAGGGGGCAGTTAGTGCTGTCAGCCTTTAGGGGCAGTTAGTGCTGTCAGCCTTTAGGGGCAGTTAGTGCTGTCAGCGTTTAGGGGCAGTTACTGCTGTCAGCGTTTAGGGGCAGTTACTGCTGTCAGCGTTTAGGGGCAGTTACTGCTGTCAGCCTTTAGGGGGCAGTTACTGCTGTCAGCCTTTAGGGGGCAGTTACTGCTGTCAGCGTTTAGGGGGCAGTTACTGCTGTCAGCGTTTAGGGGCAGTTACTGCTGTCAGCGTTTAGGGACAGTTAGTGCTGTCAGCCTTTAGGGGCAGTTAGTGCTGTCAGCCTTTAGGGGCAGTTACTGCTGTCAGCCTTTAGGGGCAGTTACTGCTGTCAGCGTTTAGGGGGCAGTTACAGCTGTCAGCGTTTAGGGGGCAGTTACTGCTGTCAGCCTTTAGGGGCAGTTACTGCTGTCAGCCTTTAGGGGCATTTACTGCTGTCGGGTTTAGGGGGCAGTTACTGCTGTCAGCCTTTAGGGAAAGTTACTGCTGTCAGCGTTTAGGGGCAGTTACTGCTGTCAGCCTTTAGGGGCAGTTACTGCTGTCAGCGTTTAGGGGCAGTAACTGCTGTCAGCCTTTAGGGGCAGTTACTGCTGTCAGCCTTTAGGGGGCAGTTAATGCTGTCAGCCTTTAGGGGCAGTTACTGCTGTCAGCCTTTAGGGGCAGTTACTGCTGTCAGCGTTTAGGGGGCAGTTACTGCTGTCAGCGTTTAGGGGACAGTTACTGCTGTCAGCCTTTAGGGGGCAGTTACTGCTGTCAGCCTTTAGGGGGCAGTTACTGCTGTCAGCCTTTAGGGGGCAGTTACTGCTGTCAGCCTTTAGGGGCAGTTACTGCTGTCAGCGTTTAGGGGCAGTTACTGCTGTCAGCCTTTAGGGGGCAGTTACTGCTGTCAGCGTTTAGGGGCAGTTACTGCTGTCAGCCTTTAGGGGGCAGTTACTGCTGTCAGCGTTTAGGGGCAGTTACTGCTGTCAGCCTTTAGGGGCAGTTACTGCTGTCAGCGTTTAGGGGCAGTAACTGCTGTCAGCCTTTAGGGGGCAGTTAGTGCTGTCAGCCTTTAGGGGGCAGTTAGTGCTGTCAGCCTTTAGGGGCAGTTAGTGCTGTCAGCCTTTAGGGGCAGTTACTGCTGTCAGCGTTTAGGGGCAGTTACTGCTGTCAGCGTTTAGGGGGCAGTTACTGCTGTCAGCCTTTAGGGGGCAGTTACTGCTGTCAGCGTTTAGGGGCAGTTACTGCTGTCAGCGTTTAGGGGCAGTTACTGCTGTCAGCGTTTAGGGGCAGTTACTGCTGTCAGCCTTTAGGGGGCAGTTACTGCTGTCAGCGTTTAGGGGGCAGTTACTGCTGTCAGCGTTTAGGGGCAGTTACTGCTGTCAGCCTTTAGGGGCAGTTACTGCTGTCAGCCTTTAGGGGGCAGTTAATGCTGTCAGCCTTTAGGGGCAGTTACTGCTGTCAGCCTTTAGGGGCAGTTACTGCTGTCAGCGTTTAGGGGGCAGTTACTGCTGTCAGCGTTTAGGGGACAGTTACTGCTGTCAGCGTTTAGGGGCAGTTACTGCTGTCAGCCTTTAGGGGGCAGTTACTGCTGTCAGCCTTTAGGGGGCAGTATCTCACGTATGGCAACAAGACCACGCACCCTAAACTCACACGTTTCATCGATATGTATGAAAATTGATACGCACATGTATCATGACGAGACGAACAAAAAAGCCTCTTGGACCCATACCCCAAACCCAACAGGAAGTCAGCCATTTTGAAAATCTTTGGCCGATTTGCATACGTACTTTAGCAAACTCCAGTGTGATCTAAAGATTAAATATTGTTCTATTTGTCGCTGTGCGTTGAACTTTTATAATAAAAAAGGCATTGTAACCAACTGAGTGAGATTATTATTGATTATTTATTGACTACGGGCACTAATTGGACAAAGCGAAGCTATAACAGGCTCATTGATCGGTCGCTGTATGTGATTGGTGGATGTGTTAATATGTTGCACACATTATTTGTATAATGCTTTATATTGTTGATCAAAGGGTCCTGCACTTTGTTCTAATTGTAATTTGAAGATACATCTTGTAAAACATTAATAAAACATTATTATTATTATTATTATTATTATTATTATTATATGCAGTCGACTTGCAATGTGACCCAGAACTGAGTGCAAAGTTTATTGTCCACATTAGCATAATTAGCATTCATAATCAGCTATAAAGGGGGGAGCTCAGTGATCACTGTAACACAATCCGTTATTCTGACGTCCTGCTAACGGCTAATGTAGCTGCCGTTAGCGTTAGCAACTGAACGGGGCTCAGCAGCCTCCCAGTGAACTCGGAGACAGACAGAGGACAGTGTGACGGTAGGACAGCGGTACCGAGGTGATTGATGGAGTTTCCAGATGGACTCGTTGCTAAAAGAAGCTAACTGTGAGCTGTTAGCTTGTGCAGCTAACATTAGCCGACTTAGCCTCAGGGTGGCAGGAGCCAAACCCGGCCATTAAAACACCTCAGTGCTTTATTCCAGTCAGCTAATGGGTGCGCTATAATGCTAGCTGCTGCTAATGCTAGTTCCTGTAAATACAGAAACATGGAAGCTCTGATTTCTGTTTCATGTGGACTTTAATACTTAATAAAAGGTCCAGTTTGTATCACACTGTGGTACCAGTACTGCCTTGCATTAGTATTAGTAGCAGTTTGCTCTGTACTGACCCTGGATCAGGCCTCCCGCACTGTAACAAGCTCCTCCAGGAGAGAAATCTTATCATGTCGTTGTGTAACTGATAGTTTTATAGTCTTCAACTTGAACATTAACCCACAGAGGCCGATCCAGTCCTGAGCTGCAGCCTCACACATTATATACAACACAGTCAGATAAAAGGAGCTTTACCTTGGAATACGGGTAATAGTCACTGGTCATCCTCTCTGGAGAACCAATACATCAATCAATCAATCAATCAGTGGATCCCGGCTGGTGTTTCTGTTAGCAGTGGAGCATTGTGAGCTGCAGTAGGTCTCAGACTGTGGGAAGCAGCATATCTCAGACCTGTCTGAGCAGAAACTATTATTCTTACATCAGGTAGTCCACTCCCAACCACTCCCTCTGCAGGTATGTTCACCTGCTCACCACTGTGACGCCGGTCCACCCAGAACTGCCTTTACCATCCTGTAATGTGCAGTATGAGGACAGTTGAATCTACAGCGGTTAGAGGTTTGACCTCCATAAGCCCCGCCCCTTCTGGAACCTCGCTCAACTTCCTCCTTTCCTGTACTCAGATATGCTATGTGCTAGGCTAATCTATGTTTAAAGATAGAAGATACATGTATACAGCCACATCTTAAAGGTCCAACTACAGTCGTCACGTCCTCTATCCAGTGTGTGTTTGTCTGTTCTGGGCTACTGTAGAAACATGGCGGTTCAACATGGCGGACCCCGCCAGCAGAGGACCCGCTCCCTACGTAGATAAAAACGTCTCATTCTACAAACACACAGCTGATTATAAACGAATGAAAACATAGCTATGGATATTATATTCCAGTGATGTTTCACACAGGAGCGTAAAATTAGCTAATGTTAGCAAAACACTAGCTAACTAGCGAGCTAATCTACATTAAATGTTAGCGAGTTAGTTGTGGTGGACATGTGGGGTGTTTATAAGATCTGACTGTGCCCCTGTAGCTAGTTAGCTTGTGCATTGCTAACATTAGATGTGGTTGTCTTTTCAACATAGATTAGCTTAGCATATAGCATATCTACGTACAGGAAGGCAATTTGTTTTCCCAGGGTGGCGAAGTCCTGACCCGCCTTACTCTGGCTCTGATTGGCTCGTACTTGTTCAGGCATGAGGAGTGACAGTAAGGTGGGTCCTGACTTCACCATCCTGGGGAAAAGAATATCTGTGATTGGAGCTCTGAGAAAAAAGGGGCGGGACTTAAGAAATGTCTGTTGTGTTTTTAATTTCTCCATGGCTACAGCAGCTGAGGCTCATGGGTATTGTAGTATCTAGAGATGGTGAGTCACACTGAGCTCATTATAGATTCTGTAACCTTCTTAATGAATGTTATTGATTACATTGATTAGCTGCTGTACTTCTTGGTTGTGTTCATGTTATTCTGTCCACACTGTATCCATGTGACATAATGATGTTGTGTATTTTAAACATGGAGACAGTGAGTCACTTCCTGAAAGATGATCCTTTCACAATAAAATACTGTGTGCAACATGGACCTCCTCCCTCACCCTCAGCAAACACAGCGATACCCAACAGCTGCTCCCAGCATTATTACATCATTATTACATCATTATTACATCACTCGACTAATTCACCCATCATTATAACAACAATTATTAATCACTGCCTCTTATAGGAATATTACGTTATATTAAAACACATTCTGTCTGTCTGTCTCTCTGTTTGTCTGTCTGTCTGTCTGTCTCTCTGTTTGTCTGTCTGTCTGTCTCTCTGTCCAGAGATTCAGAATAAATTATAATAACTTTATTGATCCTCTGAATTTTACTTCAGCGCAGACATCAGGACGACATTTTAAGGTGTTTTACATTACAAATATCAGCATGTTAGCATTGTCACTGTGTATATAAAGGCAGACGCCCCCTGGTGGCTGACTGCAGTATAGACTCTCTCTCTCTCTATCTCCCCCTGGTGGCTGACTGCAGTATAGACTCTCTCTCTCTCTCTCTCCCCCTGGTGGCTGACTGCAGTATAGACTCTCTCTCTATCTCCCCCTGGTGGCTGACTGCAGTATAGACTCTCTCTCTCTATCTCCCCCTGGTGGCTGACTGCAGTATAGACTCTCTCTCTATCTCCCCCTGGTGGCTGACTGCAGTATAGACTCTCTCTCTCTCTTGGCTCCCCTGGTGGCTGACTGCAGTATAGACTCTCTCTCTATCTCCCCCTGGTGGCTGACTGCAGTATAGACTCTCTCTCTCTCTATCTCCCCCTGGTGGCTGACTGCAGTATAGACTCTCTCTCTCTATTTCCCCCTGGTGGCTGACTGCAGTATAGACTCTCTCTCTATTTCCCCCTGGTGGCTGACTGCAGTACAGGTTGGGGTGTCTGATGTAAGACTGAATGAAGGCTTGAGACTCGCAGTGTGAACAGACTTTATTTATTAGAGGAAGGTGGTTCTTCCACATGCTGGCCGACTATGTGGGTCAGAATGCGGAGGCAGACCTGGACCCCTCTGCTCGTCTGAATGGATGGGGGGCGGTGGTGTGAGACGTGGGTCTGGACAGGATCTCGTTCTTCTTCTGGTTGTACAGCTCCTCCAGGATCAGACCCTGCTGACGCTCCCTCTCAGCCTGAGCTCGCTGCTCGCACTGGAGCTGCTGCTGCTGCCTCATCTGAGCCCTCAGGTCGGCCTGGTACGCCTCACGGGTCTGCTTCTGACTGCAGGACCAACACAGACCAGATCAGGACCAACACAGACCAGATCAGGACCAACACAGACCAGATCAGGACCAACACAGACCAGTTCAGGACCAACAGACCAGATCAGGACAGGACGTACCGTCTCTTCTCCTCTTCCTCCGTCAGCTTCATCTCTTCCGTCCGTCTGTTCAACTCGTCTCTCTCTGCAAACAGCGCCTCCTGTTTCTGCTTGTTCTTGTCCACTGTAACACACACACACACACACACACACACACACACACACACACCGTAAAGGTTATCAACTGATCACTGTAGCTTTGATCACACAGACTGAAGGAAACAGTGTACTGATAAGTGATGTGATCAGGCTGTGATACACACACACACACACACACACACACACACACACACACACACACACACACACTATAAGAGTACATTACGTTTGAGTTGGATCTGCAGACTGCGAGCTTCCATCACTTCCTTCATCAGTCTGTTTCTGGCGTCTCTCTGCAGTCGACTCTGCTCCTCTCTTTTACTCCACACCTCCTTCAGCTTCTCCTCCACCAGCTGCTCTGTCTCCTCCTCCTCCCTCCTCTGCTTCTGCAGCTCCTCAGACAAATACTGCCGGTACCTCCACTGCTCCTCACGCAGCTCGGCCTGAACACACACAATAATAACACAGATACAGGATGTATATTAATATTACCAGAGAGTCAGTTTAGTATCACTGTACACAGACAGACAGGCAGGCAGACAGGCACACAGACAGGCAGGCAGACAGGCAGGCAGACAGACAGGCAGGCAGACAGGCAGACAGGCAGACAGACAGACAGACAGGAGGATGGATAAATGGAACCACTTCCTGTGTGATATGTGAGCTCTTTACATTAAACTGCTCAGGATCCTCTCAGGTGAGCTCCAGGTGTGTTTACCTTCCTCTGAGCAGCTTCCTGTTTCTCATCAGTTTCCTGTTGGAGCAGCTGCTGCAGGATGTTCACGTCCAGCTGCAGCTCGTCCTGCTGCTCTCGGGCCAGACGCTTCATCTTCCTCCGGAGACCCTGATCCAGCTGCCGCCGTCTGGTCCGCTGGCCCTGGAGCTTCTGCTGCTGCTCGCGCTGCAGCTGCAGACGCTGCATCTCCTGCTGCTGCAGCTGCAGCGCCGAGTCCAACAGAGGGCGAGAACAACGTCAGCACCTCAATCCTACAGCTGAGTCACAGTCAGATAATTTTTTATATATATATATATATATATCATTAGTGTTTAATCAGCTGATAGTAACAGTCATTGTGTGTTTGTTAGAATGAGACGTTACAGGGACCACCATGTTCTACGGTAGCCCAGAAGGGACAAACCATAGAGACTTTAACAGCCACTGTAGTTTCCAATTCAGGCGTTCGGCTGGTTTCACTGTACAATAATCGTAGATAAAATATTGACCAGTGGATTAAGTGACATCTAGTGGTGAAGTTGCAGATTGCAACCAATAAGACTACGGTGGCTGTTACAGTCTCCAGTGTTTGGTTTGTCCCTACTGGGCTACCATAGAAACATGGCAGACTCATTCTAACAAACAAACAATGATTCTTATTATCAGCTGATTAAAACATTCTGATGATGTATTTCTGTATTCAAAACACGTCTAATGTAAAATAACTAGTGCTGTCAAACGATTAAAATATTTAATCGCGATTAATCGCATTAATGTCATAGTTCGCTGTTATCGCAATTAATCGCACATTTTTATCTATTCTAAATGTCCCTTGATTTCTTTTTGTCCCATTATTTATTCTCATTTTAATGCTCTTATCAACATGGAAAAGTGGATCGGCTTGCTTTGTGCAAAATTTAGTGTTGTTTTTGGCGGCCTGTTTTAATTTTAGTTTTAGTCTAATCCTTATGTCAAACTGTCATTTTAGTTTTTATTAGTTTTAGTCACGTTTATACTCTTTTTAGCCTAGTCAAGTTTCAGTCGACTAAAAGTCTGAGCATTTTAGTCTAATTTTAGTCAGAATTATCCATGACTATTTTCGTCTAGTTTAGTCGACGTAAATTGTATATTTAACCCAGTTAATATAGTAGTAGTAAAGTAAGATTTGAATTTACAACATATTTATTTTACCTACCAAACATGTAAGAAGTACACACACATACATTTAAATAGAATAAATAAATAAAATAGCTTCAAATGACAATGCTAGAAAAAATTGACATTACATTCAAGTTTAACTTTAAGAGAAACAAGGTGCTTGAATGCTCGCAAATAAAATGTGTCTGTGACTAACGTTAACCCACCGCAGCTGCATCTTCTAGTGGTGCTATCCATTTGTCTCGTAAATCCCCCGGCCGAGTTGGAAAGTGTAAATCTTGCAGCTATCTCGCGACATTTCACCGAGACATGGTGATAATTTCAGCCGTCCCACTCGGGGCTCCTCACTGTACACCGAGCTAAACGAGGGTGAACGTACGACTCGCAAAACAAAGATGGCTGCGCCCATATTAATATGTATTTTCTTTGTTTTTGTGCTACGTTGGTCGTTTTAATGTCGATTTTAAATGCTCTTACACACTTGTTTACATTGCTGCTTTAGTCCGGTCACCAATTTATGCATTGCACGGTGTTGCTGTAAGTTCAATACAATGTAAAGTTTTGTTTTCAAGCTGGTTTGCTAAATAGGCTAATGTAGCTAACAATAACACTAGCCTGCCCCTGGAGGCCCCTGGAGGCCCCTGGTGGCCCCTGGTGGCCCCTGGAGGCCCCTGGAGGCTCCTGGGGGCCCCTGGTGGCCCATGGTGGCCCCTGGTTGCCCCTGGAGGCCCCTGGTGGCTCGAGACAAACGCCACAGCACTTGTTGAAATTGAAATAGGCGAAAATGGCAAAATATTATTGAACTGTAAGACTTGCAATAACAGAATTACTTGAAATGTTTGTGTTTCTGTAGAAAAACATTATTATTATTTCACATTGAGCTTGTTTAGAAGATCCACAATCAATAACAACACAGCTGCTGCACTGGTGGCGTCCATGTTCTTTCCGACTCGTAATGCCCAAATAAACTGGAACGCTATAAGTGGTACAAGCCAGGCAATTACGTCACGTTCTCGCGTCAGAGCAACTCTGGCGGGGGATTTACGAGACAAATGGATAGCACCATAAATAATGCCGCAAGTGGGGATTGAGGAAGTGACGTCGCCTGCATCTGCGCAGTGCGCTGATGCAGCCCTGAGACTCAGGAAACAGAAATATTTCAAAATAATAATAATAGCGAGACGAAATAACATTATAACATTTCGTCTCGTCTCGTTTTGGTCAACGAAAATTAAGAGATATTTTAGCAGTTTTTATTTTGCAAACCACATTTAGTCACGTTTTTATTCGTCAACAATATTGCATTATATATTTGATTATAGTTTTCGTCACATGACCACCATTTAAGTTGCGTCTTGTCACGTGATAAAGGTTCGTTAACGGCGAAATTTAGTCATAATTTTCGTTGACAAAAGCAACACTAGTGCAAACGTTGTTGTTTTTTTGTTTTTTTATTGAAAAATCATCCATTGTCGCCTGGCTTTAGACTGGGAGGGTGTTTATTTTTGACAAACACACAGAGCACTTTGATCTTGTCAATGGAACCATTGGCAACTTTTTAAAAGTAAACTTTCCCTTTTCCTTTTTTTCATTCAGAATATTATTGCATCCATTTGGCTGTCTTAAAAAAATTGACGTCACTACTCTTAAACAGTGTGTGGGCGTGCCTGTGTTTTGTTTCCGGTTCCTGGTGTAGCTGATCCAGTTGGTGTTGTAGTTTTTTAACGTTATAGGTTGTTGCAATAGCGTGAAAAAAATACAAAGTGTGCTAGGCCAAAAAAAAGTTAAAAAATTGACGCCGTTAAAATTTTTAATAAATTTAACTGACGGCACTAAAAATAACATAACATTAATTACTGCTTATTTAAAGAACATTTCCTGTTTTTCACATAAAAATATTAAACTACATTTACAAACGACTTAAACTAATTAATAGTGTTAATCACTGTAATTTTACATTTGTGTTTTTATCAGTGTATCCTGCTAACAGACTATGAGTGTATTAGTGTATTAGTATATAAGTGTATTAGTATATTAGTATATTAGTGTATTAGTGTATTAGTATATTAGTATATTAGTATATTAGTATATAAGTGTATTAGTATATTAGTATATTAGTGTATTAGTATATTAGTATATAAGTATATTAGTATATTAGTGTATTAGTGTATTAGTATATTAGTATATAAGTGTATTAGTATATTAGTATATAAGTGTATTAGTATATTAGTGTATTAGTGTATTAGTATATTAGTATATAAGTGTATTAGTATATTAGTATATTAGTATATTAGTGTATTAGTATATTAAGTGTATTAGTATATTAGTATATAAGTATATTAGTATATTAGTATATAAGTATATTAGTATATTAGTATATTAGTGTATTAGTATATAAGTATATTAGTATATTAGTATATTAGTATATTAGTGTATTAGTATATTAGTATATAAGTATATTAGTATATTAGTGTATTAGTGTATTAGTATATTAGTATATAAGTGTATTAGTATATTAGTATATAAGTGTATTAGTATATTAGTGTATTAGTGTATTAGTATATTAGTATATAAGTGTATTAGTATATTAGTATATAAGTATATTAGTATATTAGTATATTAGTGTATTAGTATATTAGTACATTAGTATTAGTAGCCTATATAAGCGTATTAAGTGTATCAATATTAATACATTAGTGCTAACAGACCATGAGTGTGGCCTCCTCCTGTCTCAGCTGTCTCTGCTGCTGTCTCTGCTGATCCGCTGTGTCTATCTGAGTCCTGATGAAGTCCAGCTGCTGTCTGTCGCTCTGCTGCTTCCTCTGCACTCTCTCTTGCTCTCGCTGTTCCTTGGCCCGTCGGTCGGCCTCCCACAGTTGGTCGAAGGTCTCGTCCTCCCGCCGTTGCAGCTGCAGCTGCTCCTGCCGGTCGCTCACCTGAGCGGCTCGCTCGGCGCACACCTGCTGCTCCCGGCGGCGCATCTGGACGGTCCGCAGCTCCTCACACTGCTCCCTGAAACACCGCCACACTGAGCACACACACACACACACACCTGCAGCACCCAGGCTCTTATTGTGAAAGGCTGCAGGAAGTGTGTTCACCTGAAGAGCTGCTCCAGTCTGTCTGACACCAGCTGCTGCCTGTCTCTCTCTCTCCGCTCTCTCAGGGCTTTAGCTCGCTCTCTCATCTTCGCCTGTCTCTCCACCGACGTCTCCGTCCTCTCCTCCATCTCCTGCAGGAGCTGCTGCTCCTCCTCCTCCAGCAGCACCTGCAGCCTGGAGACAGGCAGAGAGACAGACAGGTAGGGATAGACAGGTAGAAACAGACAGGTAGGGATAGACAGGTAGGGATAGACAAGTACAGATAGACAGGTAGGGATAGACTGGTAGAGATAGACAGGTAGAGACAGACAGGTAGAGACAGACAGGAGGAGACAGACACGTAGAGACAGGCAGGTAGGCATAGACAGTTGGAGACAGACAGGTAGGGATAGACAAGTACAGATAGACAGGTAGGGATAGACTGGTAGAGACAGACAGGTAGAGATAGACAGGTAGAGACAGACAGGTAGAGAAGGGGAGACAGACACGTAGAGACAGGCAGGTAGGCATAGACAGTTGGAGACAGACAGGTAGGGATAGACAAGTACAGATAGACAGGTAGGGATAGACTGGTAGAGACAGACAGGTAGAGATAGACAGGTAGAGACAGACAGGTAGAGACAGACAGGAGGAGACAGACACGTAGAGACAGGCAGGTAGGCATAGACAGTTGGAGACAGACAGGAAGGGATAGACAGGTAGAGATAGACAGTTGGAGACAGACAGGTAGAGATAGACAGGTACGAACAGACAGGTAGAGACAGACAGCTGGGACCAACCTGTCTCTCCTCTCCTGGATGTGCACTTCCTGTTGGTCCAGAGCGTCTCGGACTCGTCTGTCGATGGTTCCTCTCAGGTAACGACCGTCTGAACTCTTCAGCCACGAGTTCTTGATGTCCCAGGTCTGCTGGTACCGGGTGAACTCCAGGACCCGGTCTCGGGCCGCGTCCTGTTTCTGTCTCTCCAGGATCAGGTGGTCCGCCGGCCTGGAGGACTGGAGCTTTGCTCTCTGTTGGACCCAGAAAGGACACAAGCACATGTCCTTCATTCAGCTGAAACAACCTAAGCTAAAGTTAGCAGCAGCTCCCAGGATCCCGTGCTACCCCCTGGTGGCAGGAACTAAACACTTGTGTGTGTGTGTGTGTGTGTGTGTGTGTGTGACTGTGTGCCATCTAGTGGTGAAGTTGCTTACTGCAACTCCCTCGCTTCACCCTCTTGTTCCAAACTACGGGGTTTAACAACGTATTTGGTTTGTCTGCTCTGGGCTCCTGTAGAAACATGGCAGACTCTGTAGAGCTCAATCAGCTGATTAAAGTCTTAATGTCCAAATATCATTTAAATATCATTTAAATATCATTTAAATATTATTATTATATTTTTTATATTATATTTTTTACTATAAAAATTAAAGTCATTGAGCAAACTTCAATTTCATTTACGTTAATCCTCAGTTTATGTACATTCAGTTTATTTTACCATGATACTTTAATAAATAAGACTGTAATTGATTGATTGATTGATTGATTGATTATTTCATGTAACGTACCGGAACCCTAACCCGAACGCTGATTTTGCCGGCGTCCTGACCCGAACGACTTCCGGCTTGATGCAGTTTCCGGTCTTTTTGCGCTACTTCCCGGCACACGATCGCCATCTAACGTAAGTCCCAGGAATTTCTACATTTTACAGAGTCTATATGTGGTTTTTCATAAATATACATCAACATTTACATGTATAATTATTATATGAAAGTTACTTTAATGAGGGGAAGCCGCGGGAAGGCTTAGATTGCGCTTGGGCGACGATCCAGTCAACTTTAAAAGTCCGTTTCTATTTTCACTTTACAGCTTAAATAAGCTCTCATATGGGTACATATCGTAGCTAGGTTTACACTGATTAGTCTAGCTAATGAAAATGTCGGATATTGTGTTTATACAGTCTGTGGTCGAGGTGGGCGGAGGCCAAGTTTTTTTTATTGAAATTAAAAAAAGTTACAGACGCGGGAAAGAAGAACAAAGGAACAGAGCAAGCGCAGCATTGTTTTTTTAAGCTGTGAAGTATCACAGTACACATGAAGATTTAATGCAAAAATAAGGTTCAAATTAGCTATTCAGATGTATTTTCTTGTTTATAAGCTAAAATAAATAAAGTATATTTTTTTATCATGATGTCATCATGTAATAATTGATATATTATTGGTGTGTGCGTGTGAGTAAGAGAGAGAGAGGGAGGGGTGTGAGAGATGTGTTGAAAGCCAGTAGAGGCTTTTATGATAGAAAATATTGGTTATATAGATACACCTCCTTATGTATAAAAACAGTAGTGTTGAAACTCAATTTTGCTCTTGTGTTTCTGTCTGAGAACAGAGACAACAGAGAGAGAGAAAGAGAGAGAAGAAGAGAGAGAGAAAGAGAAGACGAGTGAGTGAGAGAGAGAGAGAAGAGACAAGAGAGAAGAAGTGAGAAAGAGAAGACGAGTGAGAGAAAGAGAGAAGAGACAAGAGACAAGAGAGAAAGAGAAGACGAGTGAGAGAAAGAGACAAGAGACAAGAGAGAAAGAGAAGATGAGTGAGAGAAAGAGACAAGAGAGAAAGAGAAGACAAGTGAGAGAAAGAGGGAAGAGACAAGAGAAAGAGACAAGAGAGAAAGAGAAGACGAGTGAGAGAAAGAGACGAGAGACAAGAGAGAAAGAGAAGACGAGTGAGAGAAAGAGACAAGAGACGAGAGAAGTAGTGAGAGAAAGAAGAGACAAGAGAAAGAGACAAGAGAGAAAGAGAAGATGAGTGAGAGAAAGAGACAAGAGACAAGAAAGAAAGAGAAGACGAGTGAGAGAGAATACGAGAGAGAGAGACATAAGGTAGGCAAGGGGTGTGGGTGTGTGAGAGAGAGATTTGCTTTTATTCCTTTACAGGTGCATCAAGATGGTTAAAAACAATGCTTTGGTTTAAGGTAAGTATATTTGTGAGTAAGCATGTGATAAATTCATTTGTGCTTGTTGATGCAACATGAAATGAAATACCTATAAAAATGTTACTGTAATTTCTGAAATAATATGCCTCTTTTAGATGCCTAACATCAGACAGCTGCCCCAGAGGGAGAGGAAGACGAGGAAGTGGACCCCGGAGGCCATGGGAGAGGCCATCCAGGAGGTGAAAGCAGGCAGGCTGAGTCTGGGGCAGGCAGCCAAACAGTTTGGGGTCCCAAAAACGAGCCTGAGTGACCGAGTCAGTGGAAGGGTGGCCTCTGACTGTGTGCACGGTCAGAGGCCACTTCTCACCCCTGCAGATGAAGATTCCCTGGTGGAGTACTGCCTTTACTCTGCCAGTCATGGGTTTCCACTGACAAAGCCTCAGGTTCAGTCTTTTGCGACAGCAAATTATAATCAGCGCTGTCCAGAAGAGAGAAGGGGGAAGTTGGGCCGGACGTGGTGGCTCAACTTCCGCAGGAGGCAAGGCCAGCGCTTCACTTCTCGGACCCCAGACAATATTGACCGTGGGAGGGCATCCTGTGCCAAGAGGGGGCCGATTGAAGAATACTTCAGGCTCCTCACTACCACCATGGAGGAGCACGGGTTGAGGGAGAAACCCCGTCAAGTCTATAACTGCGATGAGACGGGGTTTCAGCTGGACTCGTCGAGACGAAAGGTCCTCGTGCCCCGGGGGACAAAACATGCTTACAGGCAGGCCCAGGGGACCAGGGACCACGTCACCGTCCTGGCCTGCCTCAACGCGGCTGGGGAGGATATCCCCCCTTTCATAATTTACAAGGGGGGATATCCCGGGGGGCCCTATAACAAGGAGGGGGTCCCCGACGCCCTCTACAGGAAGTCACCGGCCGGGTACATGGACAGTGAGCTGTTCAGGAAGTGGTTTGTCGGGCATTTCCTGAAGTTCGCCGCGCAGGAGCGCCCGCTGCTGCTTGTTTTTGATGGGCACAAATCCCACCTGGATCCAGAGCTGGTCCAGGTGGCACAGAGGGAGGAGGTCATTCTCCTGCGCCTTCCACCACACACATCTCACATCCTGCAGCCTCTGGATATGAGTTTCTTTGGACCCTTGAAGGCAGATTTCTCTGGAATTACAGGAGATCTGTCGGTAATGAGCCACTCCTTCTTGGTTTCCAAGAAGGAGTTTTCAAGGGTCCTTAGGGACTCATATCAGAGGGTGAAGGATCGGGGAGTGGTGGTGGCTGGGTTCAGGAAGTGTGGCCTCTACCCTCTGGACCCGGAAGCCATTGATTGGTCACGGGTCATGCCATCCGGACCGCGGCGTGGGACCTCCTCGCCACCTCTGCCAACCCCATCAGCATCTTCCTGGGCCATGCCTGATGTTACCCCCCCATCCCAACACCCCCCCACACACCAGAGTCCACCCCCAGTCCCTAGTTCACCCCCTGTCCCTAGTTCACCCCCTGTCCCTTGTCCACCCAATCCCTACTCTACCCATCCCCTGGTAACATCAGGCAGGATCTCAGTAGACCTGGCCCACCTCCTGCCCGAGGTGCGTTATAATACCACCAAGGGCAGGAGGAATACCACCAAGGCCAGGATACTGACGGCTCAGGAGATGTCTGATGCCATCGAGGAGGCGGAGGACCGTGCTGCAAGGCGGGAGGCCCAAGCTCTGGCCAGAGAGCAGCGGCGGGCCGAAAACAACGGCCCGACAGCCACTTCCTCTACCCTGCCTGGTGGCTCCCGTCCCAGCCGCAGAACAGCATCCCCCAGGGCTGCCTCGGCCTCCAGCGCCGGCCTTTCCATCGCCGGTCCCTCAACCCGCTCGGCCCCCTCTAGTTCCTCCCACGGTCACCAGCTGCCTGCCCCCAGCGGAACATCCCCACCTAGCCTGCCTGCACCTGGCTGGCTACTGGATGGTAAAGCACATGTTTTTTTTATTATTTCCTCTGCAATTTTAATACAGCTTTGGGAAATAATTTTGTTGTAATACTAAAATATGATTTTTCTTTTAGAGCCATCAACATCTGCCTTCGGCCTCCGAGGGTCCAGAATGTCTTCCTCTCCCTCCCAATGTAAATGCTTTATATCATTGATAAAAACAAGCAATGTCCTAAGATGCTGGTGATATTAGGGATGATGATGAGTAAACAACACGTCATCTTGTTTATACAGCCTGCAGACAGACAGCTGCGCCATTGTCCAGCTCCTCCCAGCCGTCTGCTGGACCCACGGCATCCACTGGTATTGTATTTAACATTAACAGTCTTTGTGTGCCATCCCATGATATTCAAAACATGTTCTTAAATATATTTTTTCTATGAGTAGGTCACACCAATGTGGAAGATCTGTGTGGCCAGTGCAGGGAACCTGACCCTCCGGGCGCCTGCTCGGAGGGATTGGTGCCGTGGGTCCAGTGCAACAAATGCGCCAAATGGTTTCACACCATTTGTGTCGGCTGGGAGGAGCTGGACAAAGATGAATTTTGGTGTTTTTGGTGCCTGAATTTGTTTGATAAGTTTGTTATTTGATTTGTTTTTAATTTGATTATCTGTTATCTATTTGTTTGTATATATTGTAAATATTGTATATATTGTAAATATTGCTGTTTCATTTTAGTAAAATATTTTTCATGTCATATCATTTGTCTTTTGATTAAATAATATAATTGTATGCATGAACATTTATTTGTTATATTATGCTACATACTAACTCTGCACTGAGTCTATTACAGGTAATTGTTATATGAGCATACAGCATATGTGTCTGTAATTGCTAAATTAAATGCATCAGCTTGTATTGTATTTTAAATGAGAAGTGTTTAACAAAATATCCAGTAGGTGGCGGTATAGCGGTATAACGTTAACTGCATAAATTAGAGTTGTTAAAGCATTGTATCTTATTTTGAAGGGGGAAAGTACGATCTCAGATGAGTTGATGTTAGATTGTCAGTCTCAGGAACAACTTAATAATATAATAACACCGGCAGTGTTCAATGTTTACAGTTAGATTGTCAGTCTCAGGAACAACTTAATAATATAATAACACCGGCACTGTTCAATGTTTACAGCGGGCGGACTCACGGCTAAATCACCGGTGTTAGCATCCTTTTACCGCCTCTAGTAAAGACCGAGCAAAAGTAAATGGTTAAAACGATACACGGTTAGAAAGGTAAGAAGTTCGTCTTTACTTTAGCACCTTAAAATCAACCGAAACCATTACATGATCATTTAACGTTAGTAGTTAAAGGGAATTCATATCGAATATTAGCATGAAAATCGTTCGGGTTAGGGTTCCGGTGTGTCGGTTTAACTGGTGGTTGAATTAACTGGTGATATTCCCGAGCATTGATGCAGATCTGTACACTAGAAATACTGACTGAATTGACTTCTTTTCATAATTTTAACCAACCAGAATGAAATCCTTAACACTGTAAACACTCCAGTTCTGATGTCTAATAAGATTAACGGAGGTACCTGGAGTTTAAATTCATTTTATTTGCGACGGCGATCTCCGGACGCTTGAAGAGAATGACACAGTAGGTGACTGTGTCGATGCCTGTTCCAAACACTGCAAATGTCAATAAATAATAAAAAAAAATGTTCTTTCTGTCGTTTTACGAATCCTTATTAATCTGATGTCAGGTCTATTTGAGAAGAGTTTATACTGTCACACAGTGTGTAAGGAAACATACAGTCTGCAGTATATGTTTAACGCAGTGTGGAGTCAGCTGTGGCAAAGCGTGATAGCCCAGATCAACTGGTGATAGCCTACAACATTTTACCATCGATCATGTCGCGTCTACACTTTTATCTCACCAATCACAATGATATTATATACATAACAGCACACTCTTTCATCCAAATTAGACAACTGTCAAATCTCATTTTGCAATAGGAAGAGAAATTGGATAATATTAAAACTTTAATCAGTAGAGGGTCTACAATATACAAATCCGATTCACATGGGATTTTGAATAAATGGGACAGAGATTATAAGATGTGATAGAATTGTGGTATTATACATTGAAACAGTCAGTATATGTTTAATACCATCTTGAAGTAGAGTTGTGACATGATATGACCAGATTAACTTGTGATACAACAGCTGTTTTCATTGATCTTATTTCCTTTTAAAGTCTACAGACTTTTATTTCACTAATCACAATGATATTCTGTACATGTCAGCAAACTCTTACTTACCATGATCACATGTGGGTACATTTGTTTTTCACCAGAGCTGGTATGTTGCTTAAGTAGCCTAAGGATTTGATTTTGGTGGGTTTAAATTATTGACAGTAACTCCAGTAATTCTAAAATGTGTGTGAAGCTATTGCTCAAACGATAACTCAGTTTAATCAGTTTTACATGCATTTAGGTCTTATTGTGCAGTATTTACCAATTTTATAATTATGACTTTATTTTCAAATCCAGAGTTGTGACGTGCAGCACATGTAGACTAAACTGAATTTTGTAGACTATTGGGATGAGTGAGTGAAACGTCTAGATTTTAATATTAAACTCGATGGACGGTAAATAGTGTAGCATGAATGAATGTGCACTCTGCCACAGCTACAAAGTTCTCCACACTGCTTGGAGCGTGAACTCGGACTGATAAATTTATAGGCTGGATATAATTACACACATTAAAAACAACTATGACACTAGACCGGTAACATGAGGATTTTGGACGTTTTATTGACGTTATCAGTGTTATGTCACATACATTGCCATTCCCTATAGTCCTCACTTGTTACTAGATTTTAGAACCTGCTGGTTCCTGAGGAATAAATATTCATTATAGAGACGTTTTTGTGAAGGTTTTTTTTTTTTCACAAGAGAAACTACGAGCATTGAGCTCATCGTCTCAACCAGTTCACTCAGGATAATATCACAGGTTAATCCAAACTCGAGTTACTCCGTTAATGTGGTTTTACAATAGTGTGAGGATGTGGTTGCCTTTACAAACAATTACATTTTGGTGTGTTTAAATTATTTAAAATAGTTAGTGTTTCTAAGATGTATTGTAAAGCCATTGTATGATTACTATATACGATATCCAAAGGAGTCTTTCTTCGATGTAACGTTATACTCGGGAAGGACTCAGAACTGAAACAACGGTAGCGATCAGCAGCTGTTAATGTCACCATGACAGTGAATAATAGTTCTGTAGTGAAGAGCAGACAACAACATTATTGTTCCAGTAAAGAGTTTCTATTGCAGAGTTTTAAAGTCACCAACAAATGAATGTTATAGAAGTAGTCAGAATCTTTATTTCCTGGTTCGGCAATAAGGGGTCCTAAAAAGCCACACCTACACACATCTGCCTCAGTATCACCAGTTAATTCAACTCCAGTTAAACCGACACACCTGTGCGTTAGCTGTTTGTTGTTGTTTACAGTGGAACTGCAGCTCGGTAACGGGCAGATCGTTTCAAACGGACACAAAGAATAAATATATGGATGTAAAATATGAGCCGAACCAATAAGAACATATGAACATATGAAGGATCTGCGGTTCCCTTCGACCCGCAGCGGTTAGAAAGAGTCTCCTCACGCACAAACTAAAGAAGTTGCGGGATCTTTAAGGGAGTCTGGTTGTTCTCACCACAGCGACTGAATGAGGCGTCGGTCCCGTGAACTCCCGACATCGTGTCCTCCGTTCACTCTGCAGCATTTTGATAGAAGTGGATGTTTGTGTCTGTTCCACCGACTGCTCCTCAAAACAACACAGCGACAGCAACAACGCCGGTTACCATAGTAACGGCAAACAAGAGGACGCCTCCTGCTGGCCGCCGGAGGCTGGAGAGAGTGAGACAGCTGTCTGTCTCTATGTGTGTGTCTGTCTTCTACCTGATGTGAAAGAATAATAATATTCATTCAATAAAACAGATCAAATACACACTGCTCATAGTTCATAACACGTATTATTATTATTATTATTATTATTACTATTATTATTATTATTATTACTATTATTATTATTATTACTATTATTATTATTATTATTATTATTATTATTATTATTATTATTATTATTATTATTACTATTATTATTATTCTTACTATTATTATTATTATTATTATTACTATTATTATTATTATTATTATTATTATTACTATTATTATTATTATTATTATTACTATTATTATTATTATTATTATTATTACTATTATTATTATTATTACTATTATTATTATTATTACTATTACTATTATTATTATTATTATTATTATTACTATTATTATTATTATTATTATTACTATTATTATTATTATTATTACTATTATTATTATTATTATTATTATTATTATTATTATTATTATTATTATTACTATTATTATTATTATTATTATTACTATTATTATTATTATTACTATTATTATTATTATTATTATTATTATTATTATTATTATTATTATTATTATTTATTATTATTTTATTTTTTTTTTTTTTTTCTATTATTATTACTATTATTATTATTATTATTATTATTACTATTATTATTATTATTATTATTATTACTATTATTATATTTTATTATTACTATTATTATTATTATTATTACTATTATTATTATTATTATTATTATTATTATTATTATTATTATTGTTATTATTATTAGTAAGTTTACTTTGTTGTTACAGTTGACTCCACTGTCCCCCACAAGAGCTGCAGATGTTCTTCCAACACAATGTGATTCTCGTCAAAGTGGATCAGATCCTCACGCTCCCCATTTTTCCTGCTTCTAACACATCACACATCTAAAGAGCAGCTTCAGCAACAGACTCATTCAACCCTGCTGCTCTAAGGGTCCATACAGACTGCAATAAGACTTTCTAATAATAACTGACTCTTAATCAGCTACTTCAGGGATAAATTAAGTATTTCTATCTATCTGTCAACTCTGTTCACTGTCTGCCTGATATACCCTCCCACTGACAGGAGCCCTGATATATGTGTATATATAGGCCTATAATGTATATATAATATACAATATATATAATATAATATACAATATATATATATATATATATAATATATATATATATATACAGCTTTATGTTCTCCATGTACATGAAACCAAATAATATCATCTATTAGTAAAGAGGACTTTCTACAACCTGCAAGCTTTATAGATCAAATGATCCAGTGGAAGGTTTACTGAAACTCCACCAGACTAACATCACAAACAGACTTAAGTAAAGTGAAAACTAGCAGCTGACACAATGTTCAGATTCTCAGTGGATCTTTATTGGTTGCAAGCGAGAGCCATCATCAGCATTACACAGATGTGAGTGAGGAGAGGCAGTCTGTCCTCAGTTCTTGGAGCACTTTGAGATAACACACATTAACTGGAGCCAACAACAGGATGTTCATGAGTTCACTGCACGTGTTATTGGACCTTTCTTCTCTTCCTTTCTCCTCCTTAAAGTGCTCCACACAAACATCCCGCTGACAGAAGACACAGGAAGAGGTACAGTATCAACCCCCTCCAGGATCAACTCCTTTATAATGAGTTGACTTGGATTTAGTTTCCCAACAGCTTAAACATTGTGATATCATGGTGGATATATCAGACACATCTATTCAGCAAAAGCAGAATCATACTGAAGAACACATGATAATAAGAGGAATATCCCTCAGAAAGCAGAAAACAACAGGACCCCACTGTGTTTAGTCTGTGATATAGGGGAGTAAGGGAGCTGTTGTACCACACATTGACCACCAGGGGGCGTCCTCACTCCATTTAAAGGCAGAGCTGTTAGCTGTGTCCCAGTTGTTTACATGGCAGAGAAAAGCTTCACTTACTTTACAAACTCATATTTTTACACTAAACATATGAAAATAAACAAGAACAGCTGAAACAGACAGTTCATTTATTGACAGAAAATTCATCATCAACTATTTTTATAATCATAAGTCATTTTTAATGTAAAAACATTTCATGGTTCCAGCTTATAGTAATGATCTGAATGTATTTGTAATAATTTTGAGGTTTGGGTTATTGGTTGGATAAAACAAGCATTGTGAAGGTTTCACTTCATCAATAATGAGAAAATAATCATTAGATGCAGTCTGTCATATTTCTAAACCTTTAGGTACATTTTACACTTACTTAAACTTAAAGGTTCTAGATGTGGCTGTCATCGGCCAGTAGAACGCAATCATTAGCTTTGTACCGCTACATTATTTATGGGATATCGCCCGACGAGGTGTCTATTATCGGGAATTAATCATCAGTTACTGATGATGGACACCTGGAAGGACATTATCCCCCTTATATACATCACTTACCAAAGAAACAAAATAAGATCATTATTTCATATTTTCATGTGTTTTGCAATCAAAGCGTTTTTTACAAGCCATGACTCCGTTTCCATGGTACCACCTGAGGTTCACCTGGAAAAATCATTACCATCACATAATGTAATGGAAACATTGTTCACTGCTCCAGTAAATAGGATGAACCTTAGATACGACTTGGCAACAGGCAAAATTTCTAGTTCCCTACATTCAGAGAGCTAACGTTACGCTAGCAAGATTCAAAGTCAATAGTGCTGCGTACGGTCAACAAACGTAAATATAATTTGACAGTGATAGTTAGCGGAAGGCATGTAGGAGGATCTCTGATAGGAAGTACCAGTGAGCTCAGAGGGCCACAGTGGCCATCCTGTGGTGTTCACAGGACGAGACACTGAAGGACTTAATTCAGAAAGTTTCACTGGAACTTAGTATGTGTCCTACATCAGGAAGCAATGGACACTCAGCAGCCAATGAGAGTCCAGTATTCACCCAGATCGTGGTATAATGTTGGCTAAATCAAACTAGGGGTTCCGTTATCCAGCACCGGCCCCCTCGGTGAGTCAGTCAGATCAGATCCGGGAGTCAGGACGAAGAAAGCGGACAGTATTTTACTATGTTAGCTAAATAGCAATTGGTCATTATTAGCAAGTAAGCTAACATTATCCAGCTAACAGCCCAATCAGACAATATGTCACATATATCTGCCACAAGCTCTGCAGTAATGTTAGCTTTGACTTTGGACTCTGTGTTGGACTCTGTGTTGTGGTGGGTGTCGGTCGCTTGTAGACGTTAGCGGACTCCATTTACTCACTGGCACTAAAAAAGTGATTAATGCATCAAAATAATGCTTAAATCTCACAGAATTAGAATCTCACATATGGAACATTTAAGTAACATTTTTAATGTGGCATTAGTACTTTTACTTACAGTAGGTACAGGATGTGAATCCTTCATTCAGCACTGATGTTCTTCTGTACAGTGACTAACTGTTGGTGATTTTACATGAAACCACAGAGGGCGCTGTTTCCAGGAATCACACATTTGAAATTTAAAAGGAGATTACATTGTAATCTTCTTCTGTAGTTATTACAAGAACATTCATAGAACCAGAACGAGTCAGCAGATCTTGTTTTTTACACAGCTGTCTTCTCACAGTCATGTTCTTCATCTACTTCATCATCGATTTAACTGCTGCTGACAGTTTACCAAAGCCATACCTCATTCCAGCTCTGGTTCCTTCATCCACTCGACTTTTCATCTCTTCCAGTTTCTGGACCTTCTCTGTGTCTCCTTTCTCCTTCATCTTCTCAATCAGGAAGTCCAAGTGGACAAGAGTGGACAGTGAATCAGTATTCAGGGCGATCTGCTCCAGTCTGACAACATGCTGGAAGGACTCTTCCAACCATTTATCTTTATCTTTCTGAAGATCTTCTGTTTTCTTTCGAAGAATTTCTAAAAGGTTCAACTTGCTCTCACTTTCTGCCTTGTTCTCTTCATACTTCCTTTTCACATCGTCTAGAGTTTCCTCAACTTCCCTTACCTTGTTCACATAGATCCAGTTTTCTTTCACATGAGCCTTGTGATGACACCTCCCGGAACAAACAGTGCAGCGGCTGTATCTCATGACCTTACAGCATTCTGGACCCCTAGCCACTGTACATCCAGGATAGTGACATTTCTCCTCACATTTATTACAGCAGACAGCTCTACCGTTGATAGTTTCTTTATCTTTGTATGGCTTCTTGACTTTTATTTTAAAATTCTCATTCTTCTTCATCTCTTGTTCATTTTTCTTCAGCACTTCCTGAATCTGTTGGATCTCTTCCTGTTTTTTTTCAATCAACTCAACTCTATCTCTTAGGTTTTGGATGGAGGCTGTCAGTATAGTTCGCTCAGTCAGAACATCCACAGTTGTCTCCAGCTTTTGAGGTGCAGTTTTCTCTAGAAAGTCTGTGAACTGTCTCAGTCCTTTTGTTGTTATTTTATCCGAATGTTTAAGGTCTTCTGTGTCCTCTGTCCTGTCTTCATTCTGGCAGTTATCAAACAGGAAGTGAACCGGCTGATTCTTTTCATTTCTGGCACATTTAATGTTTGCAGCCTCGAGGGCTTTCAGAGCATTTTTAGGAGTTCTTCCATCTGAGTGAGTGAGAAGGGCAACTATGTTCTTCTCCACATCTTTTCCAAACAGAGACACGGCCGAATCAAAGATGTACCTCAGACGGTCACTGAGTCGATTCTCAGTCGCTTTCAGCACCAGACCCACTGCATTGATCTCATGGACTCCGTCCTCTGAGCGGAACAAGTCAAATAATCTCTGACTGACAATGACATCTTCTTCAGTCCCTCTGGTATCTCCATATCCAGGAGTATCGATGATGGTCAGAGAGTAGGGCAGAGTTTTATCTTCAAAACCAAAGATCTCATAAACGATCACATCTGATGTCTGACTCTGTGTCTGACTTCTCTTCTCGTCCTCTACGATCTGAAACCAGACATTGTCCTCCCACTCCACTCCCATGGTGTAGTTGACCAGAGCGTTGATCAGAGTAGATTTTCCTGTTCCGGTTTCACCAACAAGTAAAATGGTTCTGTTTGTTTTGGTAGGATCTTTTTTACCAACAGTCATTCTTTTTAGAGGCCCAATATTCTCTTCCTTTGGTTTCAGTTGATAGACAGCGGGAGATCCTGGTTGGACCAGATCACTTTTAGAGATGATGTAGTCATATTTGAATGACGTGTTTTTATTCCTGTAGCAAAGTAAAGATATGAGTTAAAATAACTACTGAACATTAAATGAAATGACATAAAATCACTCTACATGTCACATGTGTTTCACACAACCAGCTTAGCTTAGCTTACAGTTAGCAAGTTGGCTGTCCCTGCTTTGTATCACTCTTGGCTAGTAGAAAGCAATCATTAGCTTTGTACTTTTATGGAATTTATTGTTGGCTAAAATAAGCAAAATTTTTCTAATGTAATTTGGCAAGCTAGCCAGCTAACATATCCACTAACGTTATCACTAGCAAAATACTGTCTGAGTGGATGTGTTATGGGTCAGGACTGTTTTGGCAGGAAAAAGGGATCTACACAATATTAGGCGGGTGGTTATAATGTTATGGCTGATCAGTCTATGCAGCAGTTACTTGACCAGGTGAACGTTAGATGACTGTAAAGTAATCAGACTGTAAAGTAATCAGACCATCATACAGTTTACAGCACCTTGTCGAATATCACTCCTACATGTTTACTGTGTTAGAAACAGTAGTATTACTCACATTGCCATGGTAACGGCTTCACAGGAACTTCAGGATGGAGCAGCTGATTAGTTCTCTGGATGAAAGAAAAACAAGTCAGTAACTTCCACCTCCTGTCAATGTTGTTCAAATTCAATTCAATTTTATTTGTATAGCGCCAAATCACAACAGGTGTTATCTCAGGACACTTTTCAAATAGAGCAGGTCTAGATCGTACTCCTTATAACATTATTTACAGAGACCCAACAGTACCACCATGAGCAAGACCTTGTTCTTAGTCAATATTATTAGATACTGCATCATACTGTAAGTGAAATGTTAAAGAGTGAAGAAACAGCACCCTTCAATCTGTGCCCTCCTACCAGTGTTGGTCAAGTTACTTGGAAATAGTAATAAGTTACTGATTACTAATTACTTCTCCAAGAAAGTAATCCAGTTACTTTACTGATTACTTATTTTCAAAAGTAATTAGTTACTTTACTAAGTTACTTTTCAAAAACATGATGCACAACCTGAATACGCTATAAAGCAACAAACCTTTCAGCCTAATTCTATTCTTTCTGCATATTCCATCATCTACAATTGAATCAAATGAAACAGTCTCTTTTTTAAAACTTGTTTTATTAGTTTCAATCTTTAAACTTTATGCACATTGCATCAAGCAAAAAAACGTTTTTGGTCGGTATTTTTTCTAGGATGCGTCATAACGAGTCTACTGTGAAAATGAGCAACATGTCTTCGACAATATAGCCAGCGACAAGCTTCTTCAGTTCAGCGGCACTAAGTCTTGTCACTCTTAAGTCTATTTTCATCTGTTTAGCAGGAGAGGGGGCCTCGTAGCTTCGCCCGGTAGAATTGGATGTGGTAGCCGCTCTCTCCCGCGCTCCATGTTGTCTTTTGTTGATCACCACACGTGTCAGTGTTTACCACTGACGTTGCGGTGCTCATACGTCATTGACAGTCTCACAAAACAAAATCACGGTTAAGTAACGCAGTAACGCAGCCTGCTTGCAGGAAAGTAACAGTATTCTAATTACTGTTTTTGCAGTAGTAATCCCTTACTTTACTCGTTACTTGAAAAAAGTAATCGGATTACAGTAACGCGTTACTGCCCATCAGTGCCTCCTACACAGATCAACAAAGTAAGTCTGTGAAGTGTCTGGTCAGGGTGCATAGCTCTGTGCTAGGCTAGCTCAGTAGCACTCTCTCATTGTGACATCAATTAAATGACATTTAATGTAAGATTACACTATAGTTTAATTACACCGTCAATATGGTCATCATTGTTGTATTTCATGTATTACCCACGCACTAATGGTACAAAGGGAAAGGTTACTGACTGATTGGACAACGTACAGTCAAGTTACAACAACGTGGGCTCCGTTATGCTGCCTGGGCCCAAAGGAAAATTACACAAAGGCAAGTCTAAACAAAAGGGTCTTGAGCTGCTCTTTAAAGGTGTCCACAGACCTTAAGTCCAATGGGAGAAGGTTCCAAAGTTAAGGAACCAAAACCTCAAAAGCACTGTGTTTAAATCCTGGATCGAGGAACAACTACCTCGTAGCTACCTCAGGATTGAGAGGTCATTCTCAGTGAAGCGCTTGGTATACTCGCCGTTGCCGACCTGTCGCGACAATGTGACGTCACAGGAGCACCGTAGCTATTTATATTTGCGCGTGGTGGTCGCGACACTAGTTGCAGTCTTCTCCTGAACAGAGGTGTCGCTACTGAGGAAAGGCTACCGACTTTGCTATTTCTACGCACTAGAAGAAGAAGATTTTTTTTTTTTTTCATTATTTTCCAAATCGGCAGCGGAGGTTCTTCCAAATTTTCCGGCATATGGCCTCCTCTTTTCCAATTCTGGCACCTCTGGGCATCTCTGTGTTCCTTCGTTGAAAGATCGTACAGATCGTCCATCTTCCTGTTTCCGCTTTGGCGCGCTCCGCTGAAAAAAAAAGAGTGGTGCACGACCTCGCGCAACCGCACCAGCGAGATCTACGTCATTTTGACGTCACGTTGTTGCGCGACAGGTCAGGAACGGCAAGTATACACGAGCCTTGAGTCCATCCAGCTCAAGGCACCAAACTCAGATCAAACTGTCAAACTAGGCAGTGCTGACCTCACCAGTTCCCCCTCCCCCAGCTCAGCAGGAGCCTGGGCCACTTCACAACTCCACACCTCTGTGAATCCTCCCTCCTCCACCATAGAGACGACTCTCTGTCTCCAAGAGAGAGACGTCAACAGGCTCTTTAAGAGGCAGAACCCCCTCAAAGCAGCCGAACCAGACTCAGTCTCTCCATCCAACCTGAAGCACTGTGCTGACCAGCTGTTGACGCACATCTTCAACACCTCACTAGAGACATGTCATGTGCTAACCGGCTTCAAAGCCTCCACCATCATCCCTGTCCCCAAATAACCAAGGACCACAGGACTCAGTGACTAGTCCATCCTCACCTCTTCCATCACCATCTGGTACGTATGCGTTCTCAGCGTATCATTCGATCTGCTGAGAAGGTGATCGGCTGCAATCTGCCATCCCTCCAGGACCTGTATGTCTCTAGGACCCTGAGGCGTGTAGGCAAGATTGTGGCTGACCCCTCCCACCCCGGACACAAACTCTTTGTAACACTTCCCTCTGGCAGGAGGCTGCGGACCATCAGGACCAGAACCCCTTGCCACAAAAACGGTTTCTTTCCGTCTGCAGCTGGACTCATTAACAAGGCCCAGATCCCCCACTGTCACTGACTCTTAACCCTTGAGGCACATTGGGGGACCATACGTGTACATTCTGCTTATTTGATTCTCAATATATCGGTCAGTTTAAAGGCTAATTGTATGAAACTTGGCCAGGGTTTGTATGTTATTAATCTTTTTTTAATTCTATAATCCCCTCTATTGTAAGGTGTGTAGAATAGGAGATTTGCAGGCGCCCGGATAGCTCAGTGGGTGGAGCTGGCAACCCATGTACCGAGGCTGAGTCCTTGCTGCAGCGGCCCAGGGTTTGGGTCTGACCTGCGGCCCTTTGCTGCATGTCATCCCCTCTCTCTGTCCCCCTTTCCTGTCTATCTTCAGCTGTGTCTATCAAATAAAGGCAATAAAAGGCCAAAAAAATAACTTAAAAAAAAAAAAAAAAAAGAACAGGAGATTTGCATCTATCCCTACACCCTTTACCCTCTGGCCTGATTTGGACACATTGACTCCCATTATAACCACATATTTTTGATATACTGTAATCCTGACATATTTTAATGCTTTTCCCATGAATACCTAATAAATCTAAGCCGCTACCTCCAAAATACAGGGAAAACAGGTTTTAGGTATGATGCTGTGCACCTTTGTCTGTCTGTCTCTCTCTCTCTCGCTCTCTCTCTCTCTCTCTCTCTCTCCCACCAACCTAGAGTCGGGGTCTGTCCGAGGTTTCTGCCTCTTAAAGGAAGTTTATTCTTGCCGTTGTCTTCTAGACCTGCTCTATTTGAAAAGTGTCCTGAGATAATTTCTGTGAATGAATTGGCGCTATACAAATAAAATTGAATTGAATTGAAAAAAATTGAATTACCTTGCAAAATGCAATAAAAAAGCTGAACACCATAAAAAATCTTTATGGAAAAAATCTTGGTATGTTGGGAGTGATATAAAATAGTGTGTGTGTGTGTGTGTGTGTGTGTGTGTGTGTGTGTGTGAGAGAGAGAGAGAGAGAGAGAGAGGTAGAGAAATTCGAATCAAAGGCCAAATGAGCTGTTTATGTTTTTTCCTGATCAAGAGAGAGCCTCCTCTCTCCTGTTGGATGCTTGGTATAGGCTGTTTATGCAGGTGCATGTTAGAAGTGTGTGAGAATAGTTGGAATGGTAATTGGTAAATGGATCTGTACTCTAGTCTTCCGACCACTCAAAGTGCTTTTACCTGAGCTTTTGTTTGGGGTGCATTTTCAATTTCTCCTGGCTATTTACGATTAGTAGGACCTTATTCATCAGGACATCAGGACTTTATTTACTATAAAACTTTGTCCACATATGAGGACACAGGGTTGCAGGAGGCTATACTACAGCCAGGTTTACCCTTTCACACACATTCACTCAGTAATGGCAAACTCCATCGAACAGAAACTAACACATTCATACACATTCACAAACTGATGCACAGCATCGGGAGCAATTCAGGGTTCAGTATCTTGCTCAAGGATACTTTGACCAACCAACAACCTTCCGATTAATGGACGACCCGCTCTGCCTCTGAGTCAAAGATGCAGCCTTGTCTGGCTGGTCATTTCTCCAGCAGACAGCAATGAAGAGAAGCCTGGAACTAGAGGAGGCTCTTGCTGCAGTCTTGCAGTCCTCTGGGGAGAGTGAGCAGTATGTTACTGAGGTGGATGTTACCAGCAGTGAGGATTCATCTGAGAGCCAGGAGGGATCAGGGGAGGAATTCCTACCAGGCACAGAGGGGCCCTGCAGCTCGGAGGAGGAAGAGGAGGAGGAGGAAGAAGAGGAAAAGGCAATGGAGGATGACACCTCTCCATGGAGATCAAGAAATGGGGAAATCCTGTGGTCTCCCACACATGAAGACTCCCTGCCATTTGCCCAGAGGACTGCAGACAATTCTGATTCTGATTGTGATCCAATAAGTCTAAACATTGTCCTGCATCACCATGCACCAAGATATCATTCAAGACTCTAAGAAGTCATTTCTGTTGAGTGCAACCCGCAGAGGCCAGACTGAAACTATTCAAAGATATTGTGCTCATCTATTTCAGCTGCTTAGCATCCAACTTTCTAAAAAGAATCTTGTTATAAGATATGAATGACACACATGAATTTAACGTAGCATGTTCAGTTATTAGTTATGTCAAATACATTGTTCTTATATGTTTGTATTTGGTGTCCTGACCTTGACAGTTTAAAGTATTTCATAGTTCTGTTTTGTTCTTACCTGTTGTTGCTTCAGGAAGCTCTGATGCTGAGGAGGAAGAGAACAGAGCAGTTTTATATCAGCAGAGAGGGTGGATGCTCTGTGGTCACCTGATTTCACAGGAGTTCTCAGTCTTTATAGACTGCAGTGAACTCTTGAGTACAGTACAGACTGTCTGGGCTGTATGAATGAACACTACTTATTGTTTATCAATTGAACTTTATTGTGTCAATAAAGTCTTATCTTAAAGAACTCCTCTCCCTTCACCATCTGTTTTATTGATGTCACCTTTGAACAGCGAGGTAATTCTAAGTTCTGAGAGACAAAAAGGGTCAAAGAGTTTGTTCGACCCTAATGGGGTGTTAATAACCTATAGCAATATAGTTAGTGTGGATTCAACTACCTTAGTTATTATGTGTAGTAAGAGAAATCATCAAAATGCAAACTGACATTACAACATTTAGACTACATTCAGATAAATATGCAATGTCCAGTTAGACTTTTAAAATAAAGTTTAGGGGCGCCTGTGTAACGGAGTTAATGATCCCACTTGCCATCACTTGGCATAGAATGTCCTTATTTTACTATATCAGTTGTTTAAATATTGTTTATAATTAGTTCTAATGAGTATCCACTGGGACTGTGTGTAACATGAGCGCCCTCTGCTGGGGCCCGTGCAGACTTGAGCGGTGCAACCCGTGTGTCATTACCAGTCTGCACTATGCTGTCTCCGTGGTAAGTTATGTGTAAATAAGCTCCGCTAAAAATACTATAAAATAAGTTCGTTTTTCTTGATGAAAGTAATATTTTTCCATTTAACATGTTTGAGAGAATCTTCGAAATTATTGTAAAACTTTTCTGTGATCATATTACTATGTTTTTGAGTCATTAAGGCTCATCATGTTGTGTGTTTTGCTAGCTAAAATGTAACTTTTGATCTCCGTGGTGTAGCTTGTTTAACAGTTAGCTCATTTAATGGTTTCTATGTTTTAGCAATGTTGGAGCTTATTACTAGAAGAGTGGCTGTGAGAGACCGTATGTGCTTCTGTTGTTATCAGATTAAACGGCGTGCTGGTGCCAAAAGTAAAAGTGTTTGCCTGATTCATCACACAACGCAAAAGAGAGAGAGTACTCGACCGCTACACCTGGTTAGCTCAGTAGGTAGAGCTGACGACCCATGTACGAGGCTGAGTCCTTGCTGGAGCGGCCCAGGGTTCGAATCCAACCTGCAGCCCTTTGCTGCGTGTCATCCCCTCTCTCTGGCCCCCTTTCCTGTCTATCTTCAGCTATCTCTATCATAAAGGCAACAAAAGCACCCAAAAAATACTTTTAAAAAATAAATAATGAATAAAGTTTGAGTGGTTAACGATGTAAAATGGTTGCACTTCAATTAGGTTGTACATTCCATTGTAAGTTATGTTATCTACCTCACACAAATTAAGCATAGTGTTAGTTCAGGCAGGCCACAAAGTCAAGCTCAGCTGTGTCGGGCTCCACGACGTAGGGTGTTAGAGTGGTCTAACTGTATTGGTGTAATCAATCAATGATTATCAAAAATTATATTATCAAAAGATAATAGAAAATGACTTTAATAATATTAAAGTTCCTCGGGGCACCAGCCTTAAATAAGGGAACGATAACCAATAATCGATTGATTAGTCTCATAAAAATTACACTAAACTATTAATTCAGAAGTCAGATTAATAATTAAATTAATAGTTACAACCAAAATCATTAATAATAGCTAGAGTGGGAGCTTTGGAGTTCTACATAGAAGAGGTTGGTATCACTCACTCTTGTACGAAATTAAATAGGCCAGCATATGTAAACACAAACATTTATTAACCAGATATAATAAAAGCAAACAGAGGAAAATACACAATATACAATCCAACTTAAAAAAAGAGTGTGTGTGTGTGTGTGTGTGTGTGTGTGTGTGTGTGTGTGTGTTTATGGGGGTCATCAAAGGCATATGTCCTGTGTCCTGAGAGACACAGAGAAATAGAGAGGCGGGAGGTTTTGAATCCTTCTTCACATGTATGTACTTAGACCGAATATGTGTGTATGTGATTCTTAGATTAACAGTGCCGTAAAAAGGGAGTAAGTGTATGCAAAGATGTCTGTGTGAAGCATTAAACTAACATCACCTTAGCACTGTCTCAAAGACTACAGTTACTACAGTAACCTCAGTTAATCAAATCAACATCACAATACCACAGTAACCTGAATAAAACACATCAGCGACATTAACAATAATTAAACAGTCCTTGTTTAGCCGTTAACTCTGTTAAGTTGTCTGTCTATGCCCAGTACGTTACCAACAGTCCAATGGAGATGAAAAAGAGTTCAGAATTATGGTTCTGAAGTCCAAAACTGTCTCTGCTGTGCGATGTCCGCCAGTGCAGGTATCGCAGGAAAAAGCAGGCCTTTGTGCCATGCTATAATCCTATTGTCATGCGTCATCTGCAGGTCAGGCCGAGGTCCAGAACTTATCACCCGGTGTGGGTGTGTGTGAGCAGGAGTGAAGGTAGAAGAGACTTACAATAAGGCCGCAGGGGAATTCCTTTGTCTGAAAGACTACTACAATCAGGCCTTTACTTTTACATACAGGCTGCTGTAGGAAAGACCATCTTCTTTGTGTAAAACCCATGTGGCCATATTCCAACATTTCCCTTTTGGTCCAGTTAAAAACTTCAAATGAACAAGTTCCTATTTAAAGGTATCCTTGGATCCCAACAGCTGTCAATTCCAGCTACATCAGCTGATCACATCTAGGCGTAAACACACATCAGCTGATGGCTCAGCTGATTCCTCCTAAACTTCCTATGGGAAAACTATACAAAGTCAACTGACAGCTCAGCTGATTCCCTCAAGCATCCAATTGGCAATTATCATTCATGGTGCCTTATTTAAGCTGCTTTAGCCTGCCTGTCTTTGCTGCTTTCTCTACAAGCCTCTTTCTTTTTGCAACCCACCTCCACCCCAGCTCCTCCTTTTATGGTGTATCTAATTTATCAATGTCATTTTCTGATTGCCATTAATGCTTACTCTGTTCTGTATGCTGGGGGGTCTCTGCTGCCGCTCTTCTTGTCTTAAACTTTTCCATGTAGGCACGTAAAAGGGCAAGGAGGTCCCAGAACAGAGACATATCGTCAAATGTAACATTCTGCTTTGTAAATTTTTTTTGACAAGTTATTTTGACAAGTGGTCCTGACTGAACTTAAGTATGTTACATAAGCTAACTTACATATGTAACTTCAAAGCATTCAACATTTACTTTTGGTTTTACACAGGACGTGAACAGCAGCTCCATATGTGGACTATCTCGCTCTTTAATTCAATTCAATTCAATTCAATTCAAATGGCTTTATTGTCTTTATACGACATCACCTGACTTCGATGGCAGTTGTGCAGTATTTGATGACTTGGGACCTTTATCGTGTTGTCGTGGAAATTCTTCCCAAAGTTGAGAGGTGCTAAATCTCTGAAGAACTTTCAAGCCGGTGTGATAATCAAGTCCCTTTAATTCATGCTGCATGGAGAGAAGGTCACGTCATGGATGTTCTCTCCCGACTTCCAAAATGCTCTCCCTTATATACATTTCAGTGCATCTCATTACATCACAAACAATGAAACCCCCTGTGTGTCTTGCAAATGTTACTCCTGTAAATCCAGGTCTCTCTCACCAAATGGTCCTTTGATGTGTGACTTCCCCCTGGCTCTTCCTATCATAAACTCAACCTTTTGACCAGGGGCACATCTATTTTATTACCCCCAAATCCTGTTTCTCTCCCAAAGTGTCTATAAAGGCTTAAAGAACTCCTTTCACCACCTGTTTTATTGGTGTCACACTGTTTGAAGTCCAGTGAGGTAATTCAAAGTTCTTTATACGAGACAGAATATGAGCAGGGTGTGTTGGGAGGGTTCAGCTCATCAACCCCTTCAACTTTAGATGGTAAAGAACTTAAATAAACCACAATATGGTAAAATAATTTTGGTGCACTAGAAGATTTTAATAGATAAAATTGGATCTGAAACAAAAAACAAGATAACAAAAAGCTCAACTATATCAAGCTAGGTCGGTAATGTATTTCAGAAACATTTAGTTATGATTCGTTTTGTTTATTCATCAGAGTTTTATGTAATAACCACTGTTATATAATGGTCTATACATATACTGGATATTCTATATTTTGTTATATTATAATATTGTACCTTTATTTTTACACACTCTGATTTTATATTTTCTATATATTGTTTAATATAATTTAATGCACATATTTCAACGTTCTTATTATTATTTCATTTTTTATTATAATGTCTGAGCAAATGTAACGCAACCATTTGCCATCAATAAAGTATTTTTGATGTTTTTTGTTATTTTCATCCTGACAGAAATCAATGAATTAAATTAAAAAAAGAAGAAAACCTGGTATTTGTAGCAGTCACAGGCCTGTAATAAGCCCAGCTGACCGTTTCAATCAGACTAAACAAAATCACTTCTTTGACTTTGTTATAAAGAGTGAACACATGGGCGGCTGGTTAGCTCAGTCGGTAGAGCTGGCGACCCATATACAAAGTTGCTGCAGCGGCCCAGGTTGGAATCCGACCTGCGGTCCTTTGCTGCGTGTCATCCCCTCTCTCCTCCCACCTTTCCTGTCTCTCTACAGCTGTCTCTAAAAATAAAGCCAACAAAAGGCCAAAAAAATAACTTTAAAAAAAAAAGAAGAGTGAACACAGCTGTCTGTTCTCAATCATGCTGTCCACCTACTTCATTACTTCTTTTCAGGCTGCTGTTAGTTTGTACTGCAACGCTGCCAGGACTGCCGTCATCCACTCGACTTTTCATCTCTTCCAGTTTCTGGACCTTCTCTGTGTCTCCTTTCTCCTTCATCTTCTCAATCAGGAAGTCCAATTGGACAAGAGTGGACAGTGAATCAGCATTCAGGGCGATCTGCTCCAGTCTGACAACATGCTGGAAGGACTCTTCCAACCATTGATCTTTCGCTTTCTGAAGTTCTTCTGTTTCCTTTTCTAAAGTTTCTAAAAGGACTTCCTGAGTTTGCTGTCTCTCTCTCTGTTTTAGTTCAATCAACTCAACTCTGTCTCGCAGGTTTTGGATGGAGGTTGTCAGTCGTATTTGCTCAGTCAGAACATCCACAGTTGTCTCCAGATTTGGACACGCAGTTTTCTCTAGAAAGTCTGTGAACTGACTCATTCCATTTATCGTTATTTTATCTGAATGTTTAAGTTCTTCTGTGTCCTCTGTCCTGTCTTCATGCTGGCAGTTATCAAACAGGAAGGGAACCGGCTGATTCTTTTCATTTCTGGCACATTTAATGTTTGCAGCCCCGAGGGCTTTCAGAGCATTTTTAGGTGTTCTTCCATCTGAGTGAGTGAGGAGGGCAACAATGTTCTTCTCCATATCTTTTCCAAACAGAGACAGAACTGAATCAAAGATGTACCTCAGACGGTCACTGAGTCGATTCTCAGTCGCTTTCAGCACCAGACCCACTGCATTGATCTCATGGACTCCGTCCTCTGAGCAGAACAAGTCAAATAATTTTTGACTGACGATGACATCTTGTTTAGTCCCTCTGGTATCTCCATATCCAGGAGTATCGATGATGGTCAGAGAGTAGGGCAGAGTTTTACCTTCAAAACAAAAAATTTCATAAACGATCACATCTGATGTCTGACTCTGTGACTGACTTCTCTTCTCGTCCTCTACGATCTGAAACCAGACATCGTCCTCCCACTTCACTCCCATGGTGTAGTTGACCAGAGCATTGATCAGAGTAGATTTTCCTGTTCCTGTTTCACCAACAAGTAAAATGGTTCTGTTTGTCTTGTTCAGATCTTTTTCACCAAGCGTCATTCTTGTTATAGTTCCAATCTTCTCTTTCTTTGGTTTCAGCTGGTAGACAGCAGGAGATCCTGATTGGATCAGAACACTTTTATAGATGATGTTATATTTGTACATGGTGTTCCTGTAGAAAATAAAAATTTAAAAAAATAATTAAAAGCTTTTTATTTTGCTTCTCTACCTGGGCCTTTAAACAGTTAAATAAAAAACGTATTTTCAATTCTTAATGAACAAGGAGCCGCAATTTAATTGTTTATCTAATTACATGAATGAGATGCCTTTTCAATCTTAGAGACAGAACCCAAATACAGACAACTGACGCAGAGCTGATGCAGTTTATGTACAAAAATGGAAGCTTACCGAATAGTGAAGCAGGCAAGGGTAAAAACTGGAAAGGCAGTCCAAAACAGGCAAACAAATCCAACAAGCTGCAGGCAGGAAGTCCAACAAATGGGCAGAAGGTCAAACAAGCAGGTCAGGCTGGCAGAAACAGGTACAAATTCATTACATTCAGACAAGTGAGCAAGTGCTGGAGACAGAGAGCAACACAGAGGATGAGAGATTGAGGATCTTCTGCCACCACATTCATTACCTGCCTCCCTACCAGCCAACATAATATAACAAATATTAAATTGCAATACCAAAATAGTTTGGTGGCTTAGTTAGTCTTTAAGGTAAACACCGAACAGTGTGTGTCCTGCCTTAAAATGTCTGCAGATATTTAATGAACTGAAGGAGAAATATTTCATTCAGAATAAATCAGCAGAGAAGCTGTAGAAAGTTAACTGACTACTGATATTTCAAATGCGATGATATGTGACCATGGTATATGTAGGATAATATAACTTTGTGTCAAGTGGCCATTCACGTCATCGGTTACACAGATGGTGAACATTGTCAGGTATTATTTCCACATGATCACTGTGTTAGAAATCTTACTCACATTGCCATAGTAACGGCTTCACAGAGACTTGAGGATGGAGCAGTTATCTGGATGAAAGAAAAGACAAGTCAGTAAACTCCACCTCCTGTCAACTGTATTATTAGACATTATTAAAAACTGTATCATAAGTAAAATCATAATAACTTTATTTAGAAAGCAAAGTTCAAGATTCAATCATTTACAACTTTGGTTAGGTTTAGGTACAAAAACTACTTGGTTAGATTTAGGAAAAGAATGTAAGTTACATTATGTACCTCACATAACTTACATCAGTTAACTTTGGTACGTTACTTAAAACAAACTGTTTATTTTCGATTTCATACAGGACACAAACAGCAGAGTCCTGGGTGTGTTTGAGCCAGCCATGCACCCCGCCTCCTTCATATGCAGACTCTCTCGCTCTTTAAGCTACATCACCTGACTCTGACGGCGGCCGCATCCAGTAAGGACGCTAGAGGGATACCTACAGGGTCATATTTTAAAGAGGCGGGACACTGACTAAACGGAAATGTTTGACAAAAAAAGGGAGTGAGACAGGGTGCTGAATAGACAGATGTGTTATGCAATGTCAACACAGCATTTCAGTTACTTGATTTTCATATGTGATCCCTCCTCCATAATGCATAAAGTGGGAAACACTATGAAAATTCTATCACAATAATGGGAAACAGATGTTTATTAGACAAAATTCCGCATAAGCTTCAACACACTCAAAAGCTGCTGATGATCCAGTAAAGACACTCTGAGCAAACTCATTTCATGAAACAGAGTTTTTATTTATAATTCATAGAAAACTGCATCAATCAGAATATGATTTCATGTGGAATAACAATACATTGCAACCACAAAAAATATGGCTTGTTAAACAATAAAGTACAACATAAATGGATCCAGATGTTTCCACATAGCCTGTGTCATCTGAAATGAAGAAACCAGAGTATCAATCAAACCAAAGTACAGTCGATCACATGACTCTTCAAAAACACTGAATTCTGCAAGTTAGATTCAGCTCCAACACTGCAGAGTTCAGTTCCTCTGTACAGACTGATTCATATGGGAAAAATGCTTTAGATGTATATTTATATACTGTATATAGAAATGCCCCTGGTGTGTTTACTGAGACTTGTGCCAACATCAGCAAAATTCCAAAAAGCATAAGTCCGGTCACCCTCAGACACCTGCCTTGACCTAGAGACAGCTAACAACAGAATAATACGTAACATACGATTGATGTTTGTTAAAATTTGAGCAGCAACATTAAACAATGATTACATTTTAATTTAATTTTCTCATGTAATTATAACATCAACATCACATGTCATAGAAATAGAATGAAAAAACCTTTTGTGAAACATTTGTATCAACAGTGCAGATCTTGTTGTCATCATCACTTTAACTGCTGCTTAATTTACCAAACATGTACCGCAGGCCTGTACTGATCCCTTTATCTTCATCCACTCGACTTTTCATCTCTTCCAGTTTCTGGACCTTCTCTGTGTCTCCTTTCTCCTTCATCTTCTCAATCAGGAAGTCCAAGTGGACAAGAGTGGACAGTGAATCAGCATTCAGGGCGATCTGCTCCAGTTTGACAACATGCTGGAAGGACTCTTCCAACCACTGATCTTTATCTTTCTGAAGATCTTCTGTTTTTTTTTTAGGTTTCCCAAAAGGCTCAACTTGCTCTCACTTTCTGCCTTGTTCTCTTCATACTTCTTTTTCATTTCTTCTTTATTCCTCTGAACTTTCTTTGTCCTGTTTACAAATCTCCAGTTTTCTTTCACATGAGCTGATACAGGACATCTCGCGGGACAAACAGTGCAGCAGCCATCTTTCATGACCTCACAGCATTCTGGATTCCAGGCCACTGTGCATCCAGGATAGTGACAGTTCTCCTGACAGACCTTACAGCAGGTAGCTCTTCCGTTGATAGTTTCTGTATCTTTGTACGGCTCATCAACTTTTTCAATAAAATTCTCATTCCTCTTCATATTTTTCTTGTATTTCTGTAGAAGTTTCTGACTCTGTTGGATTTCTTTCTGTTTGAATTCAATCTCCTCAACTCTATCTCTTAGGTTTTGGATGGAGGCTGTCAGTATAGTTCGCTCAGTCAGAACCTCCACAGTTGTCTCCAGATTTTGAGGTGCAGTTTTCTCCAGAAAGTCTGTGAACTGTCTCAGTCCTTTCGTTGTTATTTTATGCAAATGTTTAAGGTCTTCTGTGTCCTCTGTCCTGTCTTCATTCTGGCAGTTATCAAACAGGAAGTGAACCGGCTGATTCTTTTCATTTCTGGCACATTTAATGTTTGCAGCCTCGAGGGCTTTCAGAGCATTTTTAGGTGTTCTTCCATCTGAGTGAGTGAGGAGGGCAACAATGTTCTTCTCCATATCTTTTCCAAACAGAGACAGAACTGAATCAAAGATGTACCTCAGACGGTCACTGAATCGATTCTCAGTCGCTTTCAGCACCAGACCCACTGCATTGATCTCATGGACTCCGTCCTCTGAGCGGAACAAGTTGAATAATCTTTGACTGATGATGACATCTTGTTCAATCCCTCTGGTATCTCCGTATCCAGGAGTATCGATGATGGTCAGAGAGTAGGGCAGAGTTTTATCTTCAAAACCAAAGATCTTAAAAACGATCACATCTGATCTCTGACTTTCTGACTGACTTCTCTTCTCGTCCTCTACGATCTGAAACCAGACATTGTCCTCCCACTTCACTCCCATGGTGTAGTTGACCAGAGCGTTGATCAGAGTAGATTTTCCTGTTCCGGTTTCACCAACAAGTAAAATGGTTCTGTTTGTCTTGTTCAGATCTTTTTCACCAAGAGTCATTCTTGTTAGAGTTCCAGTCTTCTCTTCCTTTGGTTTCAGCTGGTAGACAGCAGGAGATCCTGATTGGATCTGAACACTTTTAGAGATGATGTTATCATATTTGTATGAGGTGTTCCTGTAAAATAAAAGTCAGACATTAGTTCAAACAGTACTGAACAATAAATGAATGTTGTCTTTTAGACATTGCATATTGCTTAAAATATTTTGCACACCATTGTACTGCACATTGCACATAGTCTATATATTTTTCATTTATAGTTTTATATTTTATATTATATTTTGTAATATTCTTATCTTTGCACTATATTCCCAAATGCTGCTGTGTGTTTTTTGAATTTCTCCTAAGGGGGATTAATAAAGTCATTCCAATCAGGATCATTACATACCCTTCCCAAATATTCCTAGCTGTGCAAGTTGTTTTTAATTCATGATTATGGATGGGAATCAAGAACCAGTTCCAGTTGAGGACCAGTTCCAAATTATCCAATCCATCAGAATGGTATGCCTCTAAGCTTTTAAATAAGGACAGATTGAACTCTGATCAAACAATCAGGATGCAAGTGGGTCTATTGAAGAGCTGAAGAGATTCATCCAAGAGAGCTATCAAAAAATGTATCAGAACACATGTGAAAGAGACAAGATCCAAAAAGATATCACTGAGGATTCCAGACCCTCTTCAAGCAAAAGTCTGCATCATGACAGTGATGGGACTGAGCCAACAACTAGTGGGAAATTACTCTACTTTAGCAACCGGAGTACATCAGAGGGAAGACTTTCACTAAAATAAGGTTTTCAGGAGTTTTATATATATTACAGTATTTTTACAGTGCCGTATTAGTACTTTTATGCAGGTAAAGGATCTGAATACTTCCACCATCACTGGGGATAATACCTGACCAGGTGAAAATTACATAAAGAAATTGTAAACCATCCTCCAGTTTTTCAGGTGGCCATCAACATCATAATTTATTACACAGAAGGTACATAAAGTCAGTTACTTACCTTGCCATTGTAACAGTTTCACAGGAACTTGAGGATGGAGCAGCTTATTAGTTCTCTGGATGAAAGAAAAACAAGTTAGTAACCTCCCCCTCCTGTCAACTGTAATGTAGTTGCTACAAGATATTATTATATACTGTATCACAAGTGAAATGAATACACTGCCCTTCAGTATGTGCCCTCCCTTACACAGATCTTATAATCAAATAAAAAGTGGGTAAGTGGGCATGGCTCTGTGCTATGCTAGCTCAGTAGTGACCAGTTTAATTTAGTTAAATTAAAAAGCACTGCTATTTACCATCCCTATAAATGGGAACAACTGTCTGTCCCTGACTGATTAACCGACTGATGAAGTTACAGTTGGTTGGCTGAGTGCTGGGAGTTTCCCAATCAGCTGGTGTAAATTTGAATGTGTTATTGCCCTTAGTGTTTTTTGTTATTTTGTTTCTTGGTTTCTGTAGCACTTTAAGATTCTTTTATTAAAAGTGCTTTACAAATAAAATGTATTATTATTAAATAAGCGCAAGCGGTCTTCAAGTACGTCCTCAGGAGCTTATTAAAACTCCACTGTGTAACATTGAGGACGATCTATTGTCAAAAATGGATATATATTATAGATATATTCATAGATATGTTTTCATTGTTGTATAATCAGCTCAATATAGAAACTTTGTGTGTTTGTTACCTTAGAATGAGATGTTTTTATCTACGGAGGGTCAGGGTCCTCCTCAGCGGAGTCCGCCATGTTGAACCGCCATGTTTCTACGGTAGCCCAGAACGGACAAACCAAACACTGGCTCTAGATAGGGCCCTTTGAGTTTTTCCCAAGTGGCCACAGTAGTTTCTTCTACACACTTGAAAGGCTGAGCTGTACTCAGTTAGTCAGTCAGTTATCTGCCATCTGACCATTAGATGCCACTAAATCCTTAGTAATCCTTAATAAGAGTAAATGTTAAAACAGACTCGGATCATGGGGGTCTTACCCACCTGGAACTTTGCCAGTTTACTAAGACAGAAAAGTTGTTGCTGTCCCTTTTTGCAAGACATGTTAAAATGGTGATGACAGTTAGGGTTAGGGTTAAGTTCAACTTATTGTCAGGTACTTCTACAACTTCCCCTGGATGGTAATGCCCGGAGGACCCTAAAATCATAGCACATGTCCTTCGTTTTTGCCACATTTAACAGTGTACAAAGCCATTTACAACAGGACCATGATCATTTTCATCAGAGTGGAGGAGACTGACAAAAGCAGAGGCATCTGATGCTGCATCAGTTGTTATGCTGACTGTGCCAATCATCAGTATAAAGAACGTAGAGGAGTGGTGAAAGGAAATGTTGTATATTAAGTAGCGATGATGTGAAGATGTGTTGAAGAGAAGTCCGCTGACACCGTCTTAATTGTATTTAAAGGTTTGTTACAAAAAGTTCAGCATCAATACAAGCATCGCGGAGCTTGGAGAGCATCCAGCCAAATGAATATCTATTGTTTATTCAAGAAAATAGTAAAGAAACATCTGGTTCCAGTACAGATATGTGAGATAAAACAGGGAGATAGGGGATTTATTAAGATAAAGGTCAGAGGCCATTGAGAGGCCCCTAGCCTAAACATTTCATAGTAAGAATTACGACGTTGAACCTCATGTCTTACTAACACTGCATATGTTGACAAAAATATCACTTGAACAAACTGTAACTTAAATTTATAGGCCTTTGGATACCACAGAAACAACCCAGAGGAGACCCTGCGGATGATGACGTCTCCTTGGACAAGCAACCATTCACCCTTACTCTCTTCTGATAGTGAAATTGTGTCAGACTTCAGGTGCTGTGCAAGCTGCATGTCCCATCCAAAACCCTTCAGCACAACCATAGAGTTCCTTTTGGCCTTTGTGACTACAATAGTTTTTATACCATCCGAGGCAGAACTTAAGTTGTTGGTCTCAAGCTCCCTCTCTATCATTTCTTCCATGCACACCTCTTTCTATACAACAACATTAACTGATTTTGTGACCAATGGCTTACTATTTGAGTACACTTTCACAGTCTGCTCAGGGATTGTCCTTACAGTTGGAAACGTAACAGCTGACAACATTAGTGAGATCATTAATGTCAGTACAGGACTCCTTAAACATACATGTAACAGCCCTGTAGGCTCCGTCCTCTTCTTAGTCCGTTTGATGTTGGTTTTTCCTCTCCTCAAAGCAGGGCAGAAGGTGAGATGAGCTGGACACAGTTGTGGTCAGCCCCATACAGCGGGTGACAGAACTTTAACACCAGTTGAACTTCTTGTTGTGTGTGGTTAGGCATGTGACGTTAAAAGTTTAGGGTTAGGGTTAGTCTAACCCTAACCCTATCAGAGTCTTCATGGAACAGTGATCAAAATCTCCATCACTTGGTCACTTCAGAGACCAAGACCAAACTATGTCTCCTTGATTGCCAGTTTACAGGCATTTCTGAATTCAAGTTGAAATCATGGGCTTGCAACTGTGTTATTCTGTAGAGACTGTACATTTCATAGAATGATGGATAAATTGTTGTTGTCTTTGGCATACACTGCTTTGCTTGCCGCGCCTCCTGGTCTTGCGAGGTAACACGCTGGTAAATTCACCCTTTCTACTTGAATGATCAGCAAAACAGCTGAGATATAAAAGCTCCAGCTTCCAGTGTGACTGTCTCATCCCTGCCAGTGCCAGCACCTTTTGCTTTTTTTGCCAGTTAATTTACTTTTAGATCCACAACACCTCATCTTGCACTTGCACTCATCCACATGAACACCACTGATTACTGACAACCAGGTCTCATATTTATAGTGGCCTTTAAGTTACTCTTACTCCTTTTCATGGCCTATTTAATCTTTCCTTTTTCAAAGTGTTCTTACCTGTTGTTGCTTCAGGAAGCTCTGATGCTGAGGAGGAAGAGAACAGAGCAGTTTTATATCAGCAGAGAGGGTGGATGCTCTGTGGTCACCTGATTTCACAGAAGTTCTCAGTCTTTATAGACTGCAGTGAACTCTTGAGTACAGTACAGACTGTCTGGGCTGTATGAATGAACACTACTTATTGTTTATCAATTGAACTTTATTGTGTCAATAAAGTCTTATCTTAAAGAACTCCTCTCCCTTCACCATCTGTTTTATTGATGTCACCTTTGAACAGTGAGGTAATTCTAAGTTCTGAGAGACAAAAAGGGTCAAAGAGTTTGTTCGACCCTAACGGGGTGTTAATAACCTATAGCAATATAGTAAGTGTGCATTCAACTAGCTTAGTTATTATGTCTGGTAAGATAAATCATTACAATGCAGTCTGACATTATAACATTTAGACTACATACAGATAAATATGCAATGTCGGGTTCGACTTTCAAAATAAAGTTTGAGTGGTTAACGATGTGAAATGGTTGCACTTCGATTAGATTTAGGAACACATACTTCCTTAGGGTTAGGAAAACATTGTAAGTTATCTACCTCACACAAATTAAGTATGTTTTATAAGCAAACTTACAAATGTAACTTCAAAGAATTCAACATTTACTTTTGGTTTCACACAGGACGTGAACAGCAGTCTCCTGGGTTGAAGCCCTGTTTGTTTGACCCATCCATGCACCTCACCACCTCCATATGTGGACTTTCTCGCTCTTTATACGACATCACCAGACTTCGATAGTAGTTGTGCGGTATATGATGACTTCGACGTGAGACTGGGTAGAATGGGCTAATACTAAAACCCGAACGAGACGTGTACACGTACATAGACATATATATGTAAATCAAGCACATCATCACATCAGTCAACACCAGTTGAGCGTCTTTTTGAGTCTGCTAGGGCATGTGACGTATTGATGAAAGTCTCTCACAGTCGTAAGGAAACAGTGATTCAAATCTCCAAGCACTGAAACTGGATTGTCGGGAGATATGGATTGCAGTGTCTGAGGTACTTGCATATGCTTGGTGGTGATTAAGGTTAGTTTGTGTTGACATCATGTTATATCATTAAGTATCAAATGTGTTCAAGTATCAAAGTTAACCAAGGGTATACTCTTGAACTGAGTTATATTTTGACCTATACATCCATGCTTACATTACATTTACAACATGTTTTGAATATTTATATTATAATTTTTATGATTTGGGCTCTGCCTGCTACCACATTGGATTTGAAATTAAACAACTGAGATGCAATTGAAGTGCAGACTTTCAGGTTTAATTCAAGGGGTTGAACAAAAATATCCTATCAAACGTGTGCGTCACCTGATGTGACGTGCGTCACCACTTTAGCCACCCGGGAATAAATGGTCCGGTCAGCTCCGAGCTTCCTCTTTCCGCTGCTGCTGCCGCATGGTGTGGTTGGGTACCGCTGTTCTGTTCTGGTGATCGAGATTGACGCTCTGTGTGGTCCGTGCTGTGTCTGCCAGGCCTCTGGGAAAGACGATTGGTGAAGCATGTAAATGTTTGCAGAGATTTGGAAGCGGGTGTACAACCAAGCGCAGATTGCCACTGCTGTTTTGCTTAGACGGAATTATGAACGCACTAACGTAGTCTACCTGTTTTAATATTTTAGACTCATTTTTATTTTCATCCTTGTCTGTTGGTTTATTGTTACGACCTGTTTTATAGTGGTGTGTTAGGAGATTTTATTCCTTTGAATATTGTGTTTAGTTTTTAGGAATACTATTGACATAACTTTTTATTGTTCATTTCTTGATAGTGGTTCGGGTTATTTTGGTCCAGAGTATACATACACTTGGGTGTATGTTGTGAAGGGGTTTTTCTTCACCATAGAAAGGATCCTGCGATCAGCCACCACTGTTGTTTTCTGTGGACGTCCAGGCCTTTTTGAGTTCCTGAGCTCACCAGTGCGCTCTTTTTTTCTCAGGATGTAAACAAACTGTTGATTTGGCCACTCCTAACATTTCCGCTATCTCTCTGATGGATTTCTTCTTTTTTTGCAGTCTAAGGATGGTCTGTTTCACTTCCACTTGTTGTGTGTTCACAGCAACAGCTTCCAAATGCAACTGCCACACCTGGAATCAACTCCAGACCTTTTACCTGCTTAATTGATGATGGGTTAACGAGGGACTAGCCCATGCAGCCCATGAAATAGCTTTTGAGTTAATTGTCCAATTACCTTTGGTCCCTTGAAAAAGAGGGGGCTGCATATTAAAGAGCTGTAATTCCTAAACGCTTCCTCCAATCTGGATACCTCTGGATCCTCTGAATACCCTCAAATTAAAGCTGAGAGTCTGCACTTTAAGCCCATATTGATTATATAACTGTATCTTGAATATGTTTTGGTAAACAGCTAAAATAAAAAACTTGTGTCAGTGTCCAAATGTATATGGACCTAACTGTATATATATATATATGAATATATATGTAATATATGTATATGTATAGTATATCAATGCAGGCAGAGACCTGATCGCCCTTAAGGAAAGTGTTTTGGGGGTCGTGGGGGAATTTTCCCCAACAAGTTGAAGTTTTTCCACCCTCACTTGCATTGATTGATTGTGTGGGGATATAGTGACCGCCATAGGGGGAATATATAGTATCATTCATGTCCTAACATAACCTTTCTTAAGTAGACATTCAGGCAACATGTGTTCATGTTCCAAGAAATCCATTGTTTGCATGTACATAACAGGAAAGAGTGACAGACTTTAAGGAAATAACACCACCTTTTTATCTGTGTGTATAAGTCCAAGAGTTGTACAGTTTTCGTCTTCAACTCAAAAGAACTACTCTGTGCTCTTTCGGCCTCCTCAGCATCAGAGCTTTCTGAAGCAACAACAGGTAAGAACACTTTGAAAAAAGGAAAATGAAACACTTTAAACTGCCAAGATCAGGAGTTAACACCAGATATAAATAGCCGCTATAGTTAGCCAGCCCCCGGAGCCGGGGGTCCCACCGAAGGTAGCTTCTGTTAGCTCTGTAGTTCCCCGGTAGTTCCCGAGCAGCCGGGAAGACAGGGAGGCTGGGTGACTGAGCGAAGGAAGACTAGAACGGCGAAGCCCACAGGTCACCACCAACCGCTTCATTTTTTTTATACATTTTCCCTCTCAGCGATACACCCGGAACCAACTCTGGTTATTGGCAGCTCCATAGTCAGAAACGTGAAGTTAGCGAAGCCAGCGGCCATAGTTAAATGCATCCCTGGGGCCAGAGCGGGCGACATTGAATCAAATTTAAAACTGCTGGCTAAAGATAAACGTAAATACAGTAAGATTGTTATCCATGTACGACACCCGTTTACGCCAATCGGAGGTCACTAAGATTAATGTGGAGTCGGTGTGTAACTATGCTAAGACAATGTCGGACACCGTAGTTTTTCTGGACCCCTCCCCAATGTGACCAGTGATGACATGTATAGCCGCATGTCGTCATTCCACCGCTGGCTGTCGAGGTGGTGTCCAGCAAACGATGTGGGCTTCATTGATAACTGGAAGCCTTTTTGGGGAAAACCTGGTCTGATTAGGGAGAGACGGCATCCATCCCACTTTGGATGGAGCGGCTCTCTTATCTAGAAATATGGCGAAGTTTATTTCTAAAACCTGACAGTCCAGAGTTAGGACCAGGAAGCAGAGCTGCTGTCTTACACACTCCTCTGCGCTTTCTTTAGAACAGTCACCCACCCAAAACCCCATAGAGACTGTGTCTGTCCCCGACCACCTAAACTATTTAAAGAAATAAAAACAAGAGGAGTTCAACATAAAAATCTAATAAAAATTAAAACCAACTCCTCAGTAGCACAAAATAAGAGAATGAAATGTGGGCTGTTAAATATCAGGTCTCTGTCCTCTAAAGCTGTTCTAGTGAATGAATTAATATCAGATTATGATATTGATTTACTTTGTCTTACTGAGACCTGGTTGTCCCACGAGGAGTATGTTAGCCTAAATGAATCCACCCCCCAGTCATATTAATACTCACATTCCTCGAGGCACAGGCCGAGGAGGTGGAGTAGCAGCTATATATGATTCGAGCGTTTTAATGGACCCTAAACCTAAACTAAATTATAATTCATTTGAAAGCCTTGTTCTTAGTCTTTCTCACCCAAACTGGAAAACACTGCAGCCAGTTCTATTTGTTATAGTGTACCGCGCTCCTGGACCGTACTCTGATTTTATGTCTGAATTTTCAGAGTTTCTATCAAGCTTAGTCCTTAAATCAGATAAAGTAATTATTGTAGGTGATTTTAATATTCATGTGGATGTTGACAATGACAGCCTTAGTAATGCATTTATATCATTAATAGACTCAATTGGCTTCTGTCAGAGTGTAAATAAACCAACTCATTGTTTTAATCACACTCTTGACCTTGTTTTATCATATGGCATTGATATTGAACATTTAATAGTCTTCCCACATAATCCTTTCCTATCTGACCATTATTTAGTAACTTTTGAATTCATACTATTAGATTATAAGCCATTAGGCAAAACTTCCTACAGCAGATGTTTATCTGACAGTGCTGTAGCTAAATTTAAGGAGGAGATTCCTTCAGTGTTTAATTCAATGCCATGTCTGAATTTAACAGAGTCCTATAACAACTTTAGTCCCTCTGAAATTGATAATCTTGTCGATAGTGCTACAGGCTCACTACGATCAACATTAGACTCTATCGCTCCTATAAAAGGAAATTATTAAAACATAGGAGACTAGCACCTTGGTATAACCACCAAACCCGCCAGTTAAAGCAAATAGCTAGGAAATCTGAAAGGAAATGGCGCTCTTCCAAATTATCAGAATATCGCTCAAATTGGCAAGATGATCTTAAGATTTATAGAAAGGCCCTCCGTAATGCCAGAGGAGCCTATTACTCAGCACTAATAGAAGAAAATAAGAACAACCCTAGGTTCCTCTTCAGCACTGTAGCCAGGCTGACAGAGAGTCACAGCTCTATCGAGCCACATATCCCCATAAACTTAAGTAGCAATGACTTCATGAGCTTCTTCTATAATAAAATTATTACTATTAGAGAAAAAATTAATCACCAACTGCCATCAACAGTTATCAGTGGCTCTCCAAGTTCAGGGACTTCTGTCAATGTAAACTTAGATGTATATTTAGACTGTTTTTCTGCTATCGATCTTCATCAGTTAACTTCAATCATTTCTTCATCGAAGCCATCAACCTGTCTGTTAGACCCGATCCCAACTAGGCTGCTTAAAGAAGTTGTTCCCTTAATTGGCACTTCTTTACTGGATATGATTAATCTTTCTTTATTATCAGGATATGTACCACAGTCCTTTAAAGTAGCTGTAATTAAACCCCTTCTTAAAAAGTCCACTCTTGACCCAGGGGTTTTAGCCAACTATAGACCGATTTCTAACCTCCCGTTCCTCTCTAAGATTCTGGGAAGTAGTCGCCAAAGAGTTGTGTGACTTTCTACATAACAATAGTTTATTTGAGGATTTTCAGTCAGGATTTAGAGCTCATCATAGCACAGAGACAGCTCTGGTTAAAGTTAATAATGACCTTCTGACTGCTTCTGACAATGGACTTGTCTCTGTACTTGTATTATTAGATCTTAGTGCTGCATTTGACACCATTGACCATGATATTCTTTTACAGAGACTTGAGCATCAAATTGGCATTAAAGGAACTGCCCTAACCTGGTTTAAGTCATACTTATCAGATCGTTCTCAGTTTGTACATGTTAACGATGAATCCTCCATAAATACTAAAGTTAGTCATGGAGTTCCACAAGGTTCTGTACTTGGACCAATACTATTTACTTTATATATGCTCCCTTTAGGCAACATTATTAGGAATCACTCCATTAACTTTCACTGTTATGCAGATGATACGCAGTTATATCTATCAATCAAACCCAATGAAATTAATCAATTATCTAAATTACAAACATGTCTTAAGGACATAAAATCCTGGATGACCTGCAATTTTCTGATGTTAAACTCAGAAAAACCGAAATTCTTGTTCTTGGCCCCAAAAACCTTAGAGACTCATTGTCTAAAGATATAGTCACTCTAGATGGCATTAACTTGGCCTCTAGCACCACTGTCAGGAATCTTGGAGTTATCTTTGATCAGGATTTGTCATTTAACTCCCACATAAAGCAGACCTCTAGGACTGCCTTCTTTCATTTACGTAATATTAGAAAAATTAGACACATACTATCACAGACAGATGCAGAAAAACTAATCCATGCATTTGTTACTTCAAGGCTGGATTACTGCAACTCTTTATTATCAGGTTGCCCCAATAAGTCCATTAAAACGCTCCAATTAATTCAGAACGCTGCAGCACAGTACTGACAGGAACTAGAAAAAGAGATCACATCTCTCCTGTACTAGCTACTCTGCATTGGCTCCCTATAAAATGTAGAATTGAATTTAAAATACTCCTCCTCACCTATAAAGCTCTTCATGGTCAGGCCCCTTCATATCTTAAAGAGCTCATAGTACCCTATTACCCCACTAGAACACTACGTTCTCTGAATGCTGGGCTACTTGTGGTTCCTATAGTCTCTAAAAGTAGAACAGGAGCCAGAGCCTTCAGTTACCAAGCTCCTCTCCTGTGGAACCAGCTTCCAGTTGTGGTTCGGGAGGCAGACACCCTCACCACATTCAAGAGTAGGCTTAAGACATTCCTCTTTGATAAAGCTTATAGTTAGGGCTGGATCAGGTGAGTCCTGAACCATCCCTTAGTTATGCTGCTATAGGCCTAGACTATCGGGGGATTTCCCATGGTGCACTGAGCTACTCTCTTCCTCTCTCTTTCTGCACTCATTCATGTCCCTTTAATGCATGTTACTAACTCCACTTCTTCCCCGGAGTTCTTGTGCTTTCTCGTCTGCAGGTTCTCATGGATCCTGGTGGAGCCTCCTGCCATGGTCCTGCTTGACTGCCATTGCCAATACTGTTGTTGCTGTGCACCTGTCTGTCTGTCTGTCGCTCTCTCTCTCTCTCTCTCTCTCTCTCTCTCTCTCTCTCTCTCTCTCTCACCCCAACTGGTCGAGACAGACGACCACCCACCTAGAGCCGGAGGATCTGTCCTAGGTTTCTGCCTTTTAACAGGCAGTTTTTCCTTGCCCTTGTCGCCAAGTGCTTGCTCATGGTGGTACTGTTGGGTCTCTGTAATTAATGTTAAAGAGTTCGGTCTAGACCTGCTCTATTTGAAAAGTGTCCTGAGATAACTTCTGTTATGAATTGGCGCTATACAAATAAAATTGAATTGAATTGAATTGAATAAATATATTTGGGTGCATGCTCATGCAGCAGCCGGCAGCAAGTCACATGTGGCTTTGCTTTTGCTGGTTAGTTTGATTATTTTCATGCAGTGAATACAACGCCCTGAGGGAGCAATGTGTGAGAAGGGGTTGACTTTGTTGCTGAAGGTGGAAAATACACAGGTTTGCAAAAAGAGGTAACACTTTATAATGAGTACACACTATTAAGCATTAGTTAAGCATGAATAAATACTGAATTCATCATTTATAACGCATGAATACACATTAGTATGTAGTTTATAAACACAGTTAAAAATGTTTTATTCATCATTGATAAGCACATTAGTTATGGATTAGTAAATACTGAATTCATCATTTATAAAGCATGATTCTGCTCTAAATAGTCATTACTATGTGGTTTATAATCACAGTTATAAATGTTTTACTCTTCATTGTACTGTACATTTCTGCATGCACTTGCACATCCACTATTCAGACATGTATTAATGATTAGTGACTGTGTTAGCAGATGTTCTATAAAACCCACAACAAATTCATTTTCTAATGATGGCCTATAAACAGTTATTAATGCAGGAATTCA